ATGTTGTGTGACTGTTGTGCAGCAGTTGTGCGTCCGTGTGATGGAGCTCGGGTAATCACTGAGGCGCTGATTAGAAGCGTTGTTAGTATTGATCAGGAGCAGCAGTTACAAGGCTAACCACTCTGCCACAGATTAGAGATGAAAGCTAACCACTCAGAGATTAGAGCTGCACATGTGTGTGTGTGTGTGTGTGTGTACGTGTGTGTGTGTGTACGTGTGTGTGTGTACAATATCTATCCAATAGATAGAAAAGAGGACACAAGTCAGACAGTGCAGCTTTAATCCAGAGTTTGGTCTCATGGAAGATTCTGTTTGTAGTTTCTGGAACAGTTCTGACACATTCTTAATTCTGTGTCTTTTTAATTTCACGTTTTGAAAGTTTTTCATCTTTAGTGTTTTTGTGTCACTCACGGCTTCCTGTGTTTATCCGTCGGTCTCGGTCTCGGTCTCGGTCTCGGTCTTTAGTCTGTGTTCTCTGTGACTGAAACTCACATTTATATACACACACACTGGTCCCTGGTCCCTGGTCCCTGGTCTCCCCCTGGTCTCCCCCTGGTCTCCTCCTTGTCTCCTCCTTGTCTCCTCCTTGTCTCCCCCTGGTCTCCTCCTTGTCTCCCCCTGGTCTCCCCCTGGTCTCCTCCTTGTCTCCCCCTGGTCTCCCCCTGGTCTCCCCCTGGTCTCCTCCTTGTCTCCTCCTTGTCTCTGTCTCCTCCTGATCTCCTCCTTGTCTCCCCCTGGTCTCCCCCTGGTCTCCCCCTGGTCTCCCCCTTGTCTCCTCCTTGTCTCCCCCTGGTCTCCCCCTGGTCTCCTCCTTGTCTCCCCCTGGTCTCCCCCTGGTCTCCCCCTGGTCTCCTCCTTGTCTCCTCCTTGTCTCCTCCTGATCTCCTCCTTGTCTCCCCCTGGTCTCCCCCTGGTCTCCCCCTTGTCTCCTCCTTGTCTCCCCCTGGTCTCCCCCTGGTCTCCTCCTTGTCTCCCCCTGGTCTCCCCCTGGTCTCCCCCTGGTCTCCCCCTGGTCTCCTCCTTGTCTCCCCCTGGTCTACCCCTGGTCTCCTCCTTGTTTCCTCCTGATCTCCTCCCTCTGTGTCCTGAGTTTCCTCCTGGTCTCCTCCTGGTCTCCTCCTGGTCTCCCCCTGGTCTCTTCCTTGTCTCCCCCTGGTCTACCCCTGGTGTCTTCCTGGTCTCCCCCTGGTCTCCTCCTTGTCTCCCCCTGGTCTCCTCCCTCTGTGTCCTGAGTTTCCTCCTTGTATCCTCCTGGTCTCCTCCTGGTCTCCTCCTTGTCTCCCCCTGGTCTCCTCCCTCTGTGTCCTGAGTTTCCTCCTTGTATCCTCCTGGTCTCCCCCTGGTCTCCTCCTTGTCTCCCCCTGGTCTCCTCCCTCTGTGTCCTGAGTTTCCTCCTTGTATCCTCCTGGTCTCCCCCTGGTCTCCTCCTTGTCTCCTCCTGATCTCCTCCCTCTGTGTCCTGAGTTTCCTCCTTGTATCCTCCTTGTATCCTCCTGGTCTCCTCCTGGTCTCCTCCCACCTCTAACTCAGTCGTAAAGAGCAGAGGAGGAGACAGGCCTTGACAAAGATTCATTAGGATTCCTCTAGTGTTCCCCGCGGCGCCCGGAGCATCTCCTGTGGCCTTGTCCCGTGTTTGCTCCCGGGTCACGGCTTTGATGATCTTTTTCTAATTACTTTTATGAGCTCTCTGGAGAAATCTGTGCAAACCTGAACAATCAATACGGTCTGCGCCGGGGCATAAAACAAGCGTTCCCAGAAGACCCATCCCAGCCAGACTCCGCCCCCCTGCCCCCCCCAGCTCAGGTAACCCATGGCAACCTGCGGGAGTAGAACCAGCAACCCTAAATCATACATGAGACGCTCCAAAGCTCCACAGAGACGTCTGTAATGGATGGTCCTCACTGACTCCTGCTGAGGAGGAGGAAGGTTTGTTTATGTAGATCAGACTCAGTTTGGCCCAGGTTAGTCCAGGTTAGTCCAGGTTAGTCCAGGTCAGTGCCATAATCAGTGCATCTGTGTTCATTGAATAACGTCAGAATATAGAGCCACATGTGTCGCTGAGTCCCAGGGCCTCAGGATGCTAACATGCTAATATGCTAACAGGCTAATATGCTAACAGGCTAATATGCTAACAGGCTAATATGCTAACATGCTAATATGCTAACAGGCTAATATGCTAACAGGCTAACTTGTAAAGGTGTGGAGAGGGAGGGGTCTCTGCTCAGACGGCTGCCCTCGTCACCCGGCTACAGATAAAGTGGAAGATGGCCATTTGTATTTATTTAAATGATGATATTTTTGTTATTTGCACCGGAATCTGTTGTTTTTCAAGAAATGGAAATAATTGACATACAACATTGGCCCTGTGTGTCTTTGAGATCATAACAGAGTCATCCAGCCAACTTCAGCTCTGCCTACAAAGGGAAATTCCACTAATGTCGCTAACGTCGCTGGTGAGATGCTAAACAAACATCATTCAGCCAACTTCAGCTCCGTCATAGCTAATTATAGAACACAGAACAGCACAAGCGTCTCCGTTCTGCAGCTGAACGATCCTGTCAGACCTCTGAAGCTAAGCAGGGCAGGGCCTGGTTAGTGCTGTGATGGGAGACCGCCTGGGAACAGCAGGTGCCACAGTGGGGCGGTTGCGGCTGTAGGAGTGAAGCATTATGGGTAAAATATGAGTGAAGCATTATGGGTAAAATATGAGTGAAGCATTATGGCCCAGTCCCAACACCCACACTGCCCCCTACACACCTCATGTGTCTGAAGTGCACACATGGTTTGAGTGACACATGGTTTGGTTACAGCACTAAAGGCAGAATGGGGACAGTTCAGACTGAGTGCAGGTGACGTCATCGACTCGTCAAGAGATGGACATTTTCAGACCTAAACTTTATAAACATTAAAGGTAATTTTGTCTGACCCTTTGGGAAACAAAATGAATTGCTTCACACACGTTAAAATACATGTATATTAGTTGTTTTTAATTAGAGATAGCTGTATAATTCTAAGTTAAATGTGGGTAACTAACTATCTGGTCAGTTTTTATACATTCTAAGATTATTGTACTAAGTGTAAAGTTTAAATTGAATGTTATATAAACGCTTGCTTTAAAAAGTTATTAAATTGTTAAAACACAATGTCCGTAATTCTTCATCAGACGTTTATGCTTCTTTCCAAGTAACATAGCAAAACTTATTTACACACATACTGCATATATATTTCAAAATTTATATTTAAATGCATTTTCCCGACGTTTTGGTGTGTACCGCAAAGAATTATGGGCAATATCCTTCGCCAGAGTGCGCATAGATGCAGGCTACGGCGAAGTGTGGATCAGGGGCGCAAAGGGGGCGGGGCCAAAGACCTCCCTGGAGGATTGGGACTGGACCCTACGCACTCGCACACTTTATCGGTAACGCACAAATGAGGGGCGCGAGGTGGAAGTGCGAGTATTGGGACGGGGCCTATGAGTAAGGTATGAGTGAAGCATTATGGGTAAAGTAAAGCATTATGGGTAAAGTAAAGCATTATGGGTAAAGCAGGAGTGAAGCATTATGGGTAAACAGGAATGAAGCATTATGGGTAAACAGGAATGAAGCATTATGGGTAAAGTAAAGCATATTGGGTAAACAGGAGTAAAGCATTATGGGTAAAGCAGGAGTGAAGCATTATGGGTAAAGTGAAGCATTATGGATAAAGTATGAGTGAAGCATTATGGGTAAAGTGAAGCATTATGGGTAAAGTGAAGCATTATGGGTAAAGTGAAGCATTATGGGTAAAGTGAAGCATTATGGGTAAAGTGAAGCATTATGGGTGAAGTAAAGCATTATGGGTAAAGTGAAGCATTATGGGTGAAGTGAAGCATTATGGGTGAAGTAAAGCATTATGGGTAAAGTGAAGCATTATGGGTGAAGTGAAGCATTATGGGTAAAGTATGAGTGAAGCATTATGGGTAAAGTGAAGCATTATGGGTAAAGTATGAGTGAAGCATTATGGGTAAAGTGAAGCATTATGGGTAAAGTATGAGTGAAGCATTATGGGTAAAGTGAAGCATTATGGGTAAAGTATGAGTGAAGCATTATGGGTAAAGTGAAGTGAAGCATTATGGGTAAAGTATGAGTGAAGCATTATGGGTAAAGTGAAGCATTATGGGTAAAGTAGTATATGAGTGAAGCATTATGGGTAAAGTGAAGCATTATGGGTGAAGATGGTGGATCAGTGGATTCTGCACACGTCCCTTGGATCCCTCTCTGCTCTGGTTCAGACCCGGGTTCTCCTCGCTCCGTGCTCTCCCTGATTCATCTTCTTTACTGGTGCTGTCAGCGGCTGACACCCGAGCTCTGTGCAGGATATCCTCCCTCACCCCCCCTCCTCCCCCCTCCCCCCGCTGTCACCCCCATAACCCCCCCCCCCGGTCAGTGGAGTGGAACAGGACACAGATATGACAGTGTTTTATGACGTGACCCCTCCCCCTCGGAGACTGCTCTGTGTTGAATCTGTCTGATCATGTGAGGGGGCGGGGCCAAGAGGGTAAAGCAGGCATGTGATTGGAGCTGTCCAGTGATTGACAGGGAGGCAGTGATTGGTGCAAATATCTCCCTAAATATTAGTTTTTTTAATCTTCTATCTCGTTACGTTCAGTTAGACCCACGACGATAACGTTTCACTTCAGAAACCGATCCTTTCTTTTGGAGCTGATCCAAATGAAACCGGTCCATGTTGTGTTCTCCATTTTATGAATGTTTTAAAAACATGTTTTAGTCCAAACTTGGTTTTTCTTCTAATTATAGTTTATTGATTTATATGGTGGGGATTTCCTCTCTCTCCTCTCTCTCTCTCTCCTCTCTCTCTCTCTCCTCTCTCTCTCTCTCCTCTCTCTCTCTCTCCTCTCTCTCTTTCTCCCCCATCCTCCCTCTTTCTCATCACATCTTCTCCCTCTTCCCATTCTCTCCATACATCCACTCTCTTCTCTCATCCTCTCCCTCTCACTCTCTATGCTCCCTCTCCTCCTCCCTCTCCTCCCTCTCCCCTCCTCCCCCTCTCCTCTCCCCCTCTCCTCCCCCTCTCTCTCCCCCTCTCCTCCTCCCCCTCTCCTCCCCCTCTCTCCCCCTCTCCTCCCCCTCTCCTCTCCCCCTCCCTCCTCCCCCCTCTCCCTCCTCTCCCCCCTCTCCTCTCCCCCCTCTCCTCTCCCCCTCTCCTCCCCCTCTCCTCTCCCCCTCATCCTCTCGCCCCCCTCTCCTCTCTCCCCCTCCTCTCTCCCCCTCCCTCCTCCCCCCTCTCCTCTCCCCCTCTCCTCCCCCTCTCCTCTCCCCCTCTCCTCCCCCTCCTCCTCCCCCTCTCCTCTCCCCCTCTCCTCTCCCCCTCTCCTCCCCTCTCCTCCCCCTCTCCTCTCCCCCTCTCCTCTCCCCTCTCCTCTCCCCCTTCTCACCTCTCCCCCCTCTCCTCCCCCTCTCCCCCTGTCCTCTCCCCCTCTCCTCTCCCCCTCTCCCTCCCCCTCTCCTCTCCCCTCTCTCCTCTCCCCCTCTCCTCTCCCCCATCCCTCTCCCCTCCTCCCCCCTCCTCTCCCCCTCCCTCTCCTCTCCCCCCTCTCCTCTCCCCTCTCCTCCCCCTCTCCTCTCCCCCTCTCCTCTCCCCCTCTCCTCTCCCCCTCTCCTCTCCCCCTCTCCTCCCCCTCTCCTCCCCCTCTCCTCTCCTCCCCCTCTCCTCTCCCCCTCTCCTCCCCCTCTGCAGTGAGCATATAAATAGCTGGAGGTGGGAAGTATCAGATTCTGCTGCAAAGTGCCGGTCCTCACGTCTGAGTCTCTTCCTCTGCATCAACATTATTTCACTTTTCTGTTTCTGCGTCACTTTGAAACTAGGACCAAGTCACGCCAATGATTCTAATAGTAACTCACTCAGACATTTATGGTAGTTCTACCCTGGTCTTACCATGTGTAAACTCTGGTCCATGATCATCTCCTACATGTACGTCTGGTCTTACCATGTGTAAACTCTGGTCTTACCATGTGTAAACTCTGGTCTTACCATGTGTAAACTCTGGACCATAGTAAAATAATCTGTTCTGGTTCAATCCAAATATCAAGAAACTGAAGCCGGAGCAAGAGGAATGTTTAGTAAATGTCATTGAAGCAAAGATGTCGTGGCTCTACTCCCCACGGGCTCCATTAGAGACAAAGGAGATGGCTAAAGCTAGGCTAATGCTAAAGCTAGGCTAATGCTAAAGCTAGGCTAATTGCCTCACTCACTCGGGCTCATTACATTCGTCACAGTAAACTCAGATCGTTTCAATCTGTAAAAGGAGTTAGCCCCTCCCACCTGGTAACGGAGTCAATGGAGCAGATCCAGACCTTCGTACAAATGAAATTAGTACCATGGTGCGGTAAGACCAGGCTAGCTACAGTACAGTATGACCGTTATTCTTCCACAGACAGTGTAGAGTAAACATGAGTGCAGGATGTAGCAGCATTGCTAACCTACACCTCCCTGAGCAGTGTGTTGTTATGTCACAAACAAAGTGCTAAGAGTCGCTTTAGCACTTTACTATCGTCAGTGTCAGATCCAGAGTTCCTCTGAAGGGGGGGGGGACCTGACCCCGACACAGCTCTCAGTCTGTTCTGTGTGTGCCATTCAAATAAATATGACAGTGTGAGTGGTTAGATAGATAGATAGATAGATAAATGCTTTATTGTCAGATACAAGGATCCGAAATTTGTTTTGCAGTTCAGCAGCTCCGTAAAAATACAAACAAGACATACAGGTATAAGACAATTCACAAAGACATTATAAACAATTGTCCGCTCGCCATAACACACTTTGATTTTATGACTTAAGATCCTCGTTTAGCTTCAGGATGGACTGATGGACAAAGGAGTTCCTCAACCTGACTTTATTAAAATGTGGCACACGGTACCGCCGCCCTGATGGTAACAGCGCATATTCGAGGTTCAGAACATGGCCGGGGTCTGAAGTGATGTTCTTAGCCAGTCGCAGTGTGTTGCTATGGTATGCAGCCTCGTACAGTCCATCCAGGGGCTGTCCTACAATCTTTGAGCAGATTTTAATCAAGTGTCTCAGTCCAGATTTAGCAGTGACAGAGAGACAGCTGTACCACACAGCGTTACAGTACTGCAGGACACTGAGAATCACAGAAGTGAAGAACAGAAGCAACACCTGACGAGACGCTCCAAAAGGCCGCAGGCGACGGAGGAAATATATTCTTTGTTTAGTCTTTTTACAGATGAAGTCAATGTGGTGTTTCCAAGACAAGGAACAGTCTAAGACCACACCCAGATATTTGAATGACTCCACCTGTTTGATTGGCTCGTTGTTGATGATAGTGGGAGCTGTGGTTACTGGGTTTAAACTAAATACCACCTCCTCTGTTTTTTTGGTGTTTATTTCCAGAGCGTTGTTTTTGCTCCAAATCACAACCTTGTCTATGCCCTGCTGGTGCAGCCCAGGACTGTCAGTATTTGACAGAAGGGTCACCAGGACCGTGTCATCCGAATATTTGAAGATGTGTTGATAGTTTGAAGTAGTTCGACAAATCGTCGGTGTATATGGTGAACAACAGAGCTGAGCTTACACACAGCCCTGGGGGGCTCCAACAGAGGTTGTGATGGCAGAGGAGAGTGTATCATTTACTTTGACCAGCTGGACTCTGTTGATGAGGAAAGATGCATACCAGTGAATCAAATAGGGATTAACTTCATGATGGGAGAGTTACTCTAATCAAAATGTCCGGTTTTATTGTATTGAAGGCAGATGAATAGTCCAGAAAGAGAGCTCTTGCGTAGTTGTTGGATTTGTCGAGGTGTTTGGTGATGAGTGTGGATGAGGGAAGCAACAGCATCCTCGGTGCCACAACCTGTTTTTTATACGCAAACTGAAAAGGATCCAGTTTGGCACTAATTGAACTTTGAAGATGTTTTAGCAAGATTCTCTCCAAGGCCTTCATAATGACTGAGGTTAGAGCAATGGGTCTGAAATCCTTGTGTACTTTTGGGCTTTGAGTTTTGGGCAGTGGTTTGATATGAGAGGTTTTCCATGCTTTGGGAACTGTGCATGTGTCAATCGATAACTGAAACACTGGTTGCCAAGCTGGAGCCAACTCTGTGGCAAAGTTTTTTAAAAGAAAGGGACTACACTTATTGGGCCCTTCAGCTTTTTTGATGTTTGTTGCTTTGAATGTTTTTCTCACCTCATCAACAGTGATCTCAATCCTGTCCAAACCTGGTTGAATATTTGCAAGAAGTTCTTGACATTTCTGATGACTGCCAGAGGATTCATATCTGGAGAAAAATATATTCAAGTCATTTGAAAATTTGTATTCATTATCTGTGGCAATAGGTTTATTAGGAGAGTTCATTCCGGTCATAGACTTCATGGTGTCCCATACCATAACAGCTGAATAGACAAGAGTTTGTCAACAACAAATCTATAACCAACACCTTTTTCACAAAGATAGAAATCCTGCTTTTATTCCTTGTTTTGTCGTTAATGATTTGAGAATCATAACGAGACCTTTTTTAGTTCTGCTCCACATGGTACTTTACCAGTGAGATTAGCTCCACGCGGTGAGTTCTGGCGCCCGGATCACAGACTTTCTGATTGGTGAAACGGTGGAGGGCGGGACATCGAAATGAAAACAATAACAAGATTTAGAGGCTGGAAAAGTAATTTAGAAATTCACATATCTCTGAACTATTGTTATCAGTTAAAGAAGGATTGGAAAAGAGCAGATTATTATTATGACAGATTAGGGCCCTTTAATGATGACAGATTATGGCCCTTTAATGATGACAGATTAGGGCCCTTTAATGATGACAGATTAGGGCCCTTTAATGATGACAGATTAGGGCCCTTTAATGACGACAGATTAGGGCCCTTTGATGATGACAGATTAGGGCCCTTTAATGATGACAGATTAGGGCCCTTTAATGATGACAGATTAGGGCCCTTTAATGACGACAGATTAGGGCCCTTTGATGATGACAGATTAGGGCCCTTTAATGATGACAGATTAGGGCCCTTTAATGATGACAGATTAGGGCCCTTTGATGATGACAGATTAGGGCCCTTTAATGATGACAGATTAGGGCCCTTTAATGATGACAGATTAGGGCCCTTTGATGATGACAGATTAGGGCCCTTTGATGATGACAGATTAGGGCCCTTTAATAATGACCCAACATGAGAATCTTACACATTCTTCTGCTTCCATGATGTTCTTGGCTCCTGGGGGCCTCTCTCACATGGTTTTTACTGGTCCTGATCGGGCTGAGCTCAGAGGAGATTGGGGGAAGTGTGAGACTGTGGCAGCTCCAGGGACAGATGTTCTCCACAGATATGAGCAAAACTGAAACGGCCGCTTATCTGGCGCCCCTTTCCTCACTGTCAGACGCTTAATTGCGAAGTTAGTTTATTAAATGGCAAGTGATCGGAGGAGAGAGCGGCAGATGTGGAGCCAGAGCTGTGAGAGAGCACACAGAGCTGTGAGAGAGCACACAGAGCTGTGAGAGAGCACACAGAGCTGTGAGAGAGCAGACAGAGCTGTGAGAGAGCACACAGAGCTGTGAGAGAGCAGACAGAGCTGTGAGAGAGCACACAGAGCAGTGAGAGAGCACACAGAGCAGTGAGAGAGCAGACAGAGCAATGAGAGAGCACACAGAGCAGTGAGAGAGCACACAGAGCAGTGAGAGAGCAGACAGAGCAGTGAGAGAGCACACAGAGCAGTGAGAGAGCACACAGAGCAGTGAGAGAGCACACAGAGCAGTGAGAGAGCAGACAGAGCAGTGAGAGAGCACACAGAGCAGTGAGAGAGCACACAGAGCTGTGAGAGAGCACACAGAGCAGTGAGAGAGCACACAGAGCAGTGAGAGAGCACACAGAGCAGTGAGAGAGCACACAGAGCAGTGAGAGAGCACACAGAGCAGTGAGAGAGCACACAGAGCAGTGAGAGAGCACACAGAGCAGTGAGAGAGCACACAGAGCAGTGAGAGAGCACACAGAGCAGTGAGAGAGCACACAGAGCAGTGAGAGAGCTGTAGACCCAGGACTGAGGCTGTAGACCCAGGACTGAGGCTGTAGACCCAGGACTGAGGCTGTAGACCCAGGACTGAGGCTGTAGACCCAGGACTGAGGCTGTAGACCCAGGACTGAGGCTGTAGACCCAGCGCCCCCTGGGGTCCAATTACCCACAATCCTCTGCTGCAGGTCGAGCAGATGGAGCGTCTCAACGAGCCCCAAATTGTGATTAAACGTTTCATGTTTGTTTTATTGATTCTAAAATATTTAAAAGGTTTGAAGCAGACGCAGGACTGGGACTGGTCCACAGGTCTCAGGTCCAGGGTTCAGACTGGGACTGGTCCACAGGTCTCAGGTCCAGGGTTCAGACTGGGACTGGTCCAAAGGTCTCAGGTCCAGGGTTCAGACTGGGACTGGTCCACAGGTCTCAGGTCCAGGGTTCAGACTGGGACTGGTCCAAAGGTCTCAGGTCTAGGGTTCAGACTGGGACTGGTCCAAAGGTCTCAGGTCCAGGGTTCAGACTGGGACTGGTCCACAGGTCTAGGGTCCAGGGTTCAGACTGGGACTGGTCCACAGGTCAACTCAGATGCTAACTCAGATGCTAACCCAGATGCTAACTCAGATGCTAACTCAGATGCTAACCCAGATGCTAACCCAGATGCTAACTCAGATGCTAACTCAGATGCTAACTCAGATGCTAACTCAGATGCAAACCCAGATGCTAACTCAGATGCTAACTCAGATGCTAACTCAGATGCTAACTCAGATGCTAACTCAGATGCTAACCCAGATGCTAACTCAGATGCTAACCCAGATGCTAACCCAGATGCTAACTCAGATGCTAACTCAGATGCTAACCCAGATGCTAACCCAGATGCTAACTCAGATGCTAACTCAGATGCTAACTCAGATGCTAACCCAGATGCTAACTCAGATGCTAACTCAGATGCTAACTCAGATGCTAACCCAGATGCTAACTCAGATGCTAACTCAGATGCTAACTCAGATGCTAACTCAGATGCTAACTCAGATGCTAACTCAGATGCTAACCCAGATGCTAACCCAGATGCTAACCCAGATGCTAACTCAGATGCTAACCCAGATGCTAACTCAGATGCTAACTCAGATGCTAACTCAGATGCTAACCCAGATGCTAACCCAGATGCTAACCCAGATGCTAACTCAGATGCAAACTCAGATGCTAACTCAGATGCTAACTCAGATGCTAACTCAGATGCTAACTCAGATGCTAACTCAGATGCTAACCCAGATGCTAACTCAGATGCTAACTCAGATGCTAACTCAGATGCTAACTCAGATGCTAACTCAGATGCAAACCCAGATGCAAACCCAGATGCTAACTCAGATGCTAACTCAGATGCTAACCCAGATGCTAACTCAGATGCTAACTCAGATGCTAACCCAGATGCTAACTCAGATGCTAACTCAGATGCTAACTCAGATGCTAACTCAGATGCTAACCCAGATGCTAACTCAGATGCTAACCCAGATGCTAGCTCTAGATGCTAACTCAGATGCTAACTCAGATGCTATTTCAGATGCAAACCCAGATGCTAACTCAGATGCTAACTCAGATGCTAACTCAGATGCTAACTCAGATGCTAACTCAGATGCTAACTCAGATGCTAACTCAGATGCTAACTCAAATGCTAACCCAGATGCTAGCTCAGATGCTAACTCGGATGCTAACTCAGATGCTAACTCAGATGCTAACTCAGATGCTAACTCAGATGCTAACTCAGATGCTAACTCAGATGCTAACTCAGATGCTAACTCAGATGCTAACTCAGATGCTAACCCAGATGCTAACTCAGATGCTAACCCAGATGCTAACCCAGATGCTAACTCAGATGCTAACTCAGATGCTAACTCAGATGCTAAACTCAGATGCTAACTCAGATGCTAACTCAGATGCTAACTCAGATGCTAACTCAGATGCTAACTCAGATGCTAACCCAGATGCTAACTCAGATGCTAACTCAGATGCTAACTCAGATGCTAACTCAGATGCTAACTCAGATGCTAACTCAGATGCTAACTCAGATGCTAACTCAGATGCTAACCCAGATGCTAACTCAGATGCTAACTCAGATGCTAACTCAGATGCTAACTCAGATGCTAACTCAGATGCTAAATCAGATGCTAACTCAGATGCTAACTCAGATGCTAACTCAGATGCTAACTCAGATGCTAACACAGATGCTAACCCAGATGCTAACTCAGATGCTAACTCAGATGCTAACTCAGATGCTAACTCAGATGCTAACTCAGATGCTAACTCAGATGCTAACCCAGATGCTAACTCAGATGCTAACCCAGATGCTAGCTCTAGATGCTAACTCAGATGCTAACTCAGATGCTATTTCAGATGCAAACCCAGATGCTAACTCAGATGCTAACTCAGATGCTAACTCAGATGCTAACTCAGATGCTAACTCAGATGCTAACTCAGATGCTAACTCAGATGCTAACTCAAATGCTAACCCAGATGCTAGCTCAGATGCTAACTCGGATGCTAACTCAGATGCTAACTCAGATGCTAACTCAGATGCTAACTCAGATGCTAACTCAGATGCTAACTCAGATGCTAACTCAGATGCTAACTCAGATGCTAACTCAGATGCTAACTCAGATGCTAACCCAGATGCTAACTCAGATGCTAACCCAGATGCTAACCCAGATGCTAACTCAGATGCTAACTCAGATGCTAACTCAGATGCTAACTCAGATGCTAACTCAGATGCTAACTCAGATGCTAACTCAGATGCTAACCCAGATGCTAACTCAGATGCTAACTCAGATGCTAACTCAGATGCTAACTCAGATGCTAACTCAGATGCTAACTCAGATGCTAACTCAGATGCTAACTCAGATGCTAACTCAGATGCTAACCCAGATGCTAACTCAGATGCTAACTCAGATGCTAACTCAGATGCTAACTCAGATGCTAACTCAGATGCTAAATCAGATGCTAACTCAGATGCTAACTCAGATGCTAACTCAGATGCTAACTCAGATGCTAACTCAGATGCTAACTCAGATGCTAACTCAGATGCTAACTCAAATGCTAACTCAGATGCTAACTGTGTCTCAGGATCCCGTCTGCGTCAGGAGGACTACCCGCCCCGCATCATGGAGCACCCCTCGGACCTGATCGTGTCCAAGGGGGAGCCGGCCACGCTGAACTGCAAGGCCGAGGGGCGCCCCACCCCCACCGTGGAGTGGTACAAGGACGGCGAGCGCGTGGAGACGGACAAGGACGACCAGCGCTCTCACCGCATGCTGCTGCAGGGGGGGTCTCTCTTCTTCCTGCGCATCGTGCACGGGCGCCGGAGTAAACCCGACGAAGGATCCTACGTCTGCGTCGCTCGCAACTATCTGGGAGAAGCCGTCAGCCGCAACGCCTCGCTGGAAGTGGCATGTGAGTGGACCAATCAGAGAGGGGGGGCGGGGCTTATCAAACTGTGGCACACACACACTTACTGAGGCCGTGGGGGGTCAAATGAGAGAGAGAGAGAGAGAGAGAGAGAGCAGAGGGGGGAGAGAGAGAGAGCAGAGGGGGAGAGAGAGAGAGAAAGAGAGAGACCAGAGAGAGAGAGAGAGAGAAAGAGAGAGAGAGAGAGCAGAGGGGGAGAGAGAGAGAGCAGAGGGGGAGAGAGAGAGAGAAAGAGAGAGACCAGAGAGAGAGAGAGAGAGAAAGAGAGAGAGAGCAGAGGGGGAGAGAGAGAGAGAGAAAGAGAGAGACCAGAGAGAGAGAGAGAGAGAGAGAGAGAGAGCAGAGGGGGAGAGAGAGAGAGCAGAGGGGGAGAGAGAGAGAGAGACAGAAACAAAGATAGAGAGAGAGAGCAGAGGGGGAGAGAGAGAGAGAGACAGAAACAAAGATAGAGAGAGAGAGCAGAGGGGGAGAGAGAGAGAGAGAGAGAGAGAGAGAGAGAGAGAGAGAGAGAGAGAGAGAGAGAGCAGAGAGAGAGAGAGAGAGAGAGAGAGAGAGAGACAAAGAGAGAGAGAGAGAGAGAGAGAGAGAGAGAGAGAGAGAGAGAGAGAGAGAGAGAGACAGAGAGAGAGAGAGAGAGAGAGAGAGAGAGAGACAGAGAGAGAGAGAGAGAGAGAGAGAGAGAGAGAGAGAGAGAGAGAGAGAGAGAGAGAGAGATAGAGAGAGAGAGAGAGAGAGAGAGAGAGAGAGAGAGAGAGAGAGAGAGACAAAGAGAGAGAGAGAGAGAGACAGAGAGAGAGACAGGTCCAGCAGTATTTTATATTAAAATCTTTAGAAATACTTCTGACAGTTGTGTCAAATTCAAACTTTTACCTCAGAGGTGTGTGTGACCCCAGGTTGAGAAGCACTGCTCTACAGCATTGGCTTGTGCTGGTTTGAGCTGGTCTTTGCTGGTCTGTGCTGGTCTGTGCTGGTCTGTGCTGGTCTGTGCTGGTCTGTGCTGGTCTGTGCTGGTTCAATCGCTTCAGTTCAGTTCAGTTTGACTTTATCGTCTCCGTAGAGAAGTGTGTCGTCTGCATTTGACCCGTCACTGTCTGTCAGGGTCATGTTGATGGTTCAATGTTGATGGTTCAATGTTGATGGTTCAATGTTGATGGTTCCATGTTGGTGGTTCCATGTTGATGGTTCCATGTTGATGGTTCCATGTTGATGGTTCAATGTTGATGGTTCAATGTTGATGGTTCAATGTTGATGGTTCCATGTTGGTGGTTCCATGTTGATGGTTCAATGTTGATGGTTCCATGTTGGTGGTTCCATGTTGGTGGTTCCATGTTGATGGTTCCATGTTGATGGTTCAATGTTGATGGTTCAATGTTGATGGTTCCATGTTGGTGGTTCCATGTTGATGGTTCAATGTTGATGGTTCCATGTTGATGGTTTCATGTTGGTGGTTCCATATTGATGGTTCCATGTTGATGGTTCCATGTTGATGGTTCCATGTTGGTGGTTCCATGTTGATGGTTCCATGTTGATGGTTCCATGTTGATGGTTCCATGTTGATGGTTCCATGTTGATGGTTCCATGTTGGTGGTTCCATGTTGATGGTTCCATGTTGATGGTTCCATGTTGATGGTTCCATATTGGTGGTTCCATGTTGATGGTTCCATGTTGATGGTTCCATGTTGATGGTTCCATGTTGATGGTTCCATGTTGATGGTTCCATGTTGATGGTTCCATGTTGGTGGTTCCATGTTGTTATATATGTGTTTTAAGAGTCAAATGTTGGTGTAAAGTTTGGTTGAAGTGTTCCCGTTGACAACTCTATGCAGCAGGGTTGCCTGGTTGGACAACTCTATGCAGCAGGGTTGCCAGGTTGGACAACTCTATGCAGCAGGGTTGCCAGGTTGGACAACTCTATGCAGCAGGGTTGCCAGGTTGGACAACTCTATGCAGCAGGGTTGCCAGGTTGGGTGGTTTCCTGAATACTTTTCTTCAAGAGACTTGTAGGTAATAAATAAACAGAATCATGATAGTCTCAGATAACTACTTTAAGTTTTTAGCTAAAAAATCATTCTGGGTGTTTTCTTTTTGGGGCATTCTCACGGGTTTTGGGCTGAAAAATCGTTCTTTTTTGCTGTATTATTGCCCCTGACATTTAACTAGTTAAAAGCATATACGCTGCGGCTGGGTTTAATCCAGTGGGGGCAGGTCCCGGCTCAAAAGTGTCCAAAATGACGTGCGCTGACATGCTGCAGTACCACCCCGGGCCTGTGGGGGTGGACCCGGAAGTAGAATTAGCCAATGCTAACATATAGCATTAGCAGACCTCTGGAAAACATCTTTACAGGATGGTCCAAAAGTTGTCTCTTGGCCCAAAGCTCCGGTCCACATGTGTGTCAATGCTGAGTGTTCTGGACCAGTCTAGTTTAGTCGCTGTGGACTTTAGAAGTCTCTCGTTCAAATGAATGGAGCTCTCGCAGCTGACGCATGCACAGATGTGTTTTTCACAATTTTCTTGTGGGCGGGACCACTCGCGGCCATTTTGGATAGCTCCAGTAGAGCACATTTTGGCCCATTAGTTAGAACGGCACAGATAGGCCTGACTCTGTCCATTAATATATACAGTCTATGGTTTAATCTGATTATTATTGTTTGTCTTATTATGTACCTTTTCTTTATGTAACTGCTTTTCATCCCTGTCTGTTAATCTCATTAACAGTCTCGCTCTGGTCTCTCTCTGGTCTCTCTCTGGTCTCGCTCTGGTCTCTCTCTGGTCTCTCTCTGGTCTCTCTCTGGTCTCTCTTTGGTCTCTCTCTGGTCTCTCTCTCTGGTATCTCTCTCTGGTCTCTTTCTAGTCTCTCTCTGGTCTCTCTCTGGTCTCTCTCTCTGGTCTCTCTCTGGTCTCTCTCTGGTCTCTCTCTGGTCTCTCACTCTGGTCTCTCTCTGGTCTCTCTCTGGTCTCTCTCTGGTCTCTCTCTGGTCTCTCTCTGGTCTCTCTCTGGTCTCTCTCTGGTCTCTCTCTCTGGTCTCTCTCTGGTCTGTCTCTCTCTGGTCTCTCTCTGGTCCCTCTCTGGTCTCTCTCTGGTCTCTCTCTGGTCTCTCTCTGGTCTCTCTCTCTGGTCTCTCTCTGGTCTGTCTCTCTCTGGTCTCTCTCTGGTCTCTCTCTGGTCTCTCTGGTCTCTCTCTGGTCTCTCTCTGGTCCCGTCCTCACATTGATCCATGGCAGTATTCTGAGTCTGTTTAGTGCACTCCTTGCAGCTTGCAGGTCCCTGGAGTCCAGAGGGGGGGGGGCACAGGGGGGGTCTCTCTGTGATTGGCCTTATCAGTCTCTCCCAACCCTGAGTATCAGGTGTAAATCCGAGCTAATCGCACACAAAGAAACTATTTAACCTTAAACCCGGGTCCAAGCTCTGGATCCACGATGGTCCGAGCCTCAGACAACCTCGTTATGGATCATCTGGGTCCACGATGGTCCGAGCCACAGACAGCCTCGTTATGGATCATCTGGATACTGGATGGTCCGAGCCACAGACGGCCTCGTTATGGATCATCTGGGTCCACGATGGTCCGAGCCACAGACAGCCTCGTTATGGATCATCTGGATACTGGATGGTCCGAGCCACAGACGGCCTCGTTATGGATCATCTGGGTCCACGATGGTCCGAGCCACAGACGGCCTCGTTATGGATCATCTGGATACTGGATGGTCCGAGCCACAGACGGCCTCGTTATGGATCATCTGGGTCCACGATGGTCCGAGCCACAGACGGCCTCGTTATGGATCATATGGGTCCACGATGGTCCTAGCCACAGACAGCCTCGTTATGGATCATCTGGGTCCTGGATGGTCCGAGCCACAGACGGCCTCGTTATGGATCATCTGGGTCCACGATGGTCCGAGCCACAGACGGCCTCGTTATGGATCATCTGGGTCCACGATGGTCCAAGCCACAGACGGCCTCGTTATGGATCATCTGGATCCTGGATGGTCCGAGCCACAGACGGCCTCGTTATGGATCATATGGGTCCACGATGGTCCAAGCCACAGACAGCCTCGTTATGGATCATCTGGGTCCTGGATGGTCCGAGCCACAGACGGCCTCGTTATGGATCATCTGGGTCCACGATGGTCCGAGCCACAGACGGCCTCGTTATGGATCATCTGGGTCCACGATGGTCCAAGCCACAGACGGCCTCGTTATGGATCATCTGGGTCCTGGATGGTCCGAGCCACAGACGGCCTCGTTATGGATCATCTGGGTCCACGATGGTCCAAGCCACAGACGGCCTCGTTATGGATCATCTGGGTCCACGATGGTCCAAGTTACAGACGGCCTCGTTATGGATCATCTGGATCCTGGATGGTCCGAGCCACAGACGGCCTCGTTATGGATCATCTGGGTCCACGATGGTCCAAGCCACAGACGGCCTCGTTATGGATCATCTGGGTCCACGATGGTCCAAGCCACAGACGGCCTCGTTATGGATCATCTGGATCCTCCTCCAGTCGCCCAAAACAAGTTCAGCTAAAGACACAGTTACTGACTTTCTGAAGGACCATAGTCATGTTTACTGGTTTGTGTGTGAGGCTCAGGACCATGGTCATGTTTACTGGTTTGTGTGTGAGGCTCAGGACCATGGTCATGTTTACTGGTGTGTGTGAGGCTCAGGACCATGGTCATGTTTACTGGTTTGTGTGTGAGGCTCAGGACCATGGTCATGTTTACTGGTGTGTGTGTGAGGCTCAGGACCATGGTCATGTTTACTGGTGTGTGTGTGAGGCTCAGGACCATGGTCATGTTTACTGGTGTGTGTGAGGCTCAGGACCATGGTCATGTTTACTGGTGTGTGTGTGAGGCTCAGGACCATGGTCATGTTTACTGGTGTGTGTGAGGCTCAGGACCATGGTCATGTTTACTGGTGTGTTCAGGTTTATCCACTTGCAAAGCAAGTAGAAGTCTGTAATTTCTATCATGGGTACTCAACTGTGAGTGATGGAATATAAAACAAAAATCCAGGAAATCACAATAGATGATTTGTAAATAATTAATTTGTATTTTATTGCGTGAAATAAGTATTTGATCATCTACCAACCAGTAAGAAGTTTGGCTCTCACAGACCTGCTACTTCTTCTTTAAGAAGCCCTCCTGTTCTCCAGTCATTACCTGTATGAATGGCACCTGTTTGATCGTGTTATCTGTATAAAAGACACCTATTCACACTCTCAATAAGTCAGACTCCAAAATCCACTATGGCCAAGACCAAGGAGGTCAGAGATAAAATTGTAGACCTGCACAATGCTGGAATGGGCTACAGGACAATAGGCAAGCAGCCTTCTCACCTGCACCTGTGCAGCAGGTGAGAAGGCAACAACTGTTGGTGCAATTATTAGAAAATGGAAGAAATTTAAGACAACGGTCAATCTCCCTCGGTCTGGGGCGCCATCCAAGATCTCACCTCGTGGGGCATCAATGATCATGAGAAAGGTGAGAAATGAGCCCAGAACTACACGGCAGGACCAGGTCAATGACCTGAAAAGAGCTGGGACCACAGTCTCAAAGAAAACCATCAGTAACGCACTACGCCGTCAAGGATTAAATCCTGCAGTGCACGCAAGGTGCCCTTGCTCAAGCCAAAGCATGTCCAGGCCCGTCTGATATTTACAAATGACCATCTGGATGATCCAGAGGAGGAATGGAAGAAGGTCATGTGGTCTGATGAGACAAAAATAGAACTTCTTGGTTTAAACTCCCCTCGTCGTGTTTGGAGGAAGAAGAATGATGAGTACAACCCCAAGAACACCATCCCAACCCTGAAGCATGGCGGTGGAAACATCAGTCTTTGGGGATGCTTTTCTGCAAAGGGGACAGGGCGACTGCACCGTGTTGAGGGAAGGATGGATGGGGCCATGTGTCGTGAGATCTTGGCCAACAACCTCCTCCCCTCAGTAAGAGTACTGACGATGGGTCGTGGCTGGGTCTTCCAGCATGACAACGACCAAAACACACAACCAGGGCAACCAAGGAGTGGCTCCGTAAGAAACATCTCAAGGTCCTGGAGTGGCCTAGCCAGTCTCCAGACCTGAATCCAATTGAAAATCTTTGGAGGGAGCTTAAAGTCTGTGTGGCCCAGCGACAGCCTCGAACCCTGAAGACTCTAGAGGAGATCTGTTTGGAGGAGTGGGCCAAAATCCCTACTGCAGTGTGTGCAAACCTGGTCAAAAACTACAGGAAACGTCTGATCTCTGTAAATGCAAACAAAGGTTTCAGCACCAAATATTAAGTTCTGTTTTTCTGATGTATCAAATACTTATTTCATGCAATAAAATGGACATTAATTATTCAAAAATCATCTATTGTGATTTTCTGGATTTTTGTTTTATATTCCATCACTCACAGTTGAAGAGTACCTATGATAGAAATTACAGACTTCTACTTGCTTTGCAAGTGGGAAAATCTGAAATCAGCAGTGTATCAAATACTTGTTCTCCCCACTGTACGTGTGACATCACAGATGTGCGTGTGACATCACAGATGTACGTGTGACATCACAGATGTACGTGTGACATCACAGATGTACGTGTGACATCACAGAGTCCATTGTTGTTGAACTCTTTCCTTTTAACCCTTTAACAGTTTCCTCAGTCCTTTGGTGGGTCCTTCTGAGTCTCTGTAGTTACTGTGGAACTGTCTGGATCCTAGTCTAGATCCTAGTCTGGATCCTAGTCTGGATCCTAGTCTGGATCCTAGTCTGGATCCTAGTCTGGATCCTAGTCTGGATCCTAGTCTAGATCCTAGTCTGGATCCTAGTCTGTCCTGACTAGGATCCAGACTAGGATCTAGACTAGGATCCAGACTAGGATTCTGGATCCTAGTCTGGATCCTAGTCTGGATCCTAGTCTGGATCCTTCTTCCTTTTTACATTAAGAGGACTTGACCTGAGACAAACCCCTTGTCCTCAGCTCCTCCTGGCCTCCTCCCGGCCTCCTCTTCTCCTCCTCCTCCTGGCCTCCTCCTCTCCTCTCCTCCTCCTGGCCTCCTCCTCCTCCTCCTCTCCTCCTCCTCCTCCTGGCCTCCTCCTGGCCTCCTCCTCTCCTCCTGGCCTCCTCCTGGCCTCCTCTTCTCCTCCTCCTCCTGGCCTCCTCCTGGCCTCCTCCCGGCCTCCTCTTCTCCTCCTCCTCCTGGCCTCCTCCTGGCCTCCTCCTCCTCCTCCTCTCCTCCTCCTCCTCCTGGCCTCCTCCTGGCCTCCTCCTCTCCTCCTGGCCTCCTCCTGGCCTCCTCCTGGCCTCCTCCTCTCCTCCTGGCCTCCTCCTGGCCTCCTCCTGGCCTCCTCCTGTGGATGTGGCCTGTTTTTGTGGCTGATAAGTAGGTCGCTGAGCAGCTCATAAATCAGGCTGAGGCAGTGACAGAGGCCGGGGCTGCGCGTATCCAATAAATTGCTTGCGCTGCAGATCGTGTGAGTGCGACGAGGACCACGAAGAGCATGAGGACCGCGAGGAGCGACGAGGAGCAGGTGGGGCTATGACAGGAGGAGGTCTTAATTAGCGTCAGGTTTTCACAGGTGCAGGAGAGACGCAGAAGGAGGCGCAGGAGAAGTGGAGGATGTTACTGAGAATCTGTGTCAGAGTCTGCAGCGGGTCTGGAGTGACGGGGGTCTCTGGGGGGGGGGCTCTTATCTGCTAGTAAAGTAGTATCTTGTTAGTAAAGATTAAAAAGTTTTGTCCCACTTCATGCAAACTCAGGCCCTGTTTATACTGAGACGCTGCGCAGACGTTTCCAGGCTATTAACAGAAACGACCTGGCTCCTAATGCAGATTTCTCAGCGTTCACATGAGGTTGAAAAATGTAGTTTTAGCGCCCGGCCAGTAGGGGGCAGAGAAACTTTACAACACTCACACGACCCCCAGCCCCGTGCCCAGCCCCCCTCTTGGCAGTGTACTCACTTCCTGTGCCAGACCCTCAGAACGTACCAACATCATTCTGCATTTTAACAGCAGCTGTGAACATGGAAACTGAACCTAGAGCTTTGCGTGGTCTCGTTTGGACGAACGAAGGAGTAGAATCTTCCTCTGTGCAGCGCTCGAAGCCCACGAAGCTAGTTAGTGCGACCGCCGCCATTGTTGTTGATGTTTGTTCTCCGCTACTGCGCATGTCCAAATGTACGTGCGGGGAGCAGCAGGAGGCGGGGGTCAGAGCAGCAGGAGGCGGGGGTCAGAGCAGCAGGAGGTGGGGGTCAGAGCAGCAGGAGGTGGGGGTCAGAGCAGCAGGAGGTGGGGGTCAGAGCAGCAGGAGGTGGGGGTCAGAGCAGCAGGAGGTGGGGGTCAGAGCAGCAGGAGGTGGGGGTCAGAGCAGCAGGAGGCGGCGGTCAGAGCAGCAGGAGGTGGGGGTCAGAGCAGCAGGAGGTGGGGGTCAGAGCAGCAGGAGGTGGGGGTCAGAGCAGCAGGAGGTGGGGGTCAGAGCAGCAGGAGGTGGGGGTCAGAGCAGCAGGAGGTGGGGGTCAGAGCAGCAGGAGGTGGGGGTCAGAGCAGCAGGAGGTGGGGGTCAGAGCAGCAGGAGGTGGGGGTCAGAGCAGCAGGAGGTGGGGGTCAGAGCAGCAGGAGGTGGGGGTCAGAGCAGCAGGAGGTGGGGGTCAGAGCAGAGGGGGATTTCACACCTTTCTCCCTCTCGCGGGTGTGAAAGAGCCCCCGCTGTGCAGCGTTTCTGAGTTGTCCCACTCTGAGGCCCTGTTTATACTGAGACGCTGCGCAGACGTTTCCAGGCTATTAACAGAAACGACCTGGCTCCTAATGCAAATTTCTCAGCGTTCACATGAGGTTGAAAAACGATGTAGTTCTAGCGCCCGGCCAGTAGTGGGCAGAGAAACTTTACAACACGACACACGACCCCCAGCCCCGTGCCCAGCCCCCCCCTCGGCAGTGTACTCACTTCCTGTGCCAGACCCTCAGAGAGTACCAACATCATTTCTGCATTTTAACAGCAGCTGTGAAAATGGGAACTGAACCTAGAGCTTCGCGTGGTCTCGTTTGGACGAACGAAGGAGTAGAGTTATCCTCTGTCCCGCGCTGGAAGCCCACGTAGCTAGTTTGTGTGGGCGGCGCCATTATTGTTGATGATTGTTCTCCGCTACTGCGCATGTCCAAATTTACCTACAATATACTACTATAATATATATGCTACTTTATTACTATACTACTACAATATATATACTACTATAATATATATACTACTATACTACTACAATATATATACTACTATAATATATATACTACTATACTACTATAATATATATACTACTATACTACTATAATATATATACTTCTTTACTACTATACTACTATAATATATATACTACATATTATATATGTATTATTATACTATAATACTTTATACTACTATAGTAATTATAACTACTATACTTTAATACTTTACAGTATTTATGTCCTCTGATGTCCTATGTCCTCTGATGTCCTATGTCTTCTGATGTCCTCTGATGTCCTATGGCCTCTGATGTCCTATGTCCTCTGATGTCCTATGTCCTCTGATGTCCTCTGATGTCCTATGTCCTCTGATGTCCTATGTCCTCTGATGTCCTATGGCCTCTGATGTCCTATGTCCTCTGATGTCCTATGGCCTCTGATGTCCTATGTCCTCTGATGTCCTATGGCCTCTGATGTCCTATGTCCTCTGATGTCCTATGTCCTCTGATGTCCTATGGCCTCTGATGTCCTATGTCCTCTGATGTCCTATGGCCTCTGATGTCCTATGTCCTCTGATGTCCTATGTCCTCTGATGTCCTCTGATGTCCTATGTCCTCTGATGTCCTATGTCCTCTGATGTCCTATGTCCTCTGATGTCCTATGTCCTCTGATGTCCTATGTCCTCTGATGTCCTATGTCCTCTGATGTCCTATGTCCTCTGATGTCCTCTGATGTCCTATGTCCTCTGATGTCCTATGTCCTCTGATGTCCTATGTCCTCTGATGTCCTCTGACCTTCTCCGTCTCGCTCTTCCTCGTCCTCTTCATGATCTCCTCCAGACGCTGAGAAACACAGAGCTGAGCTTTAACTCACCTCCGAGCTGTGTATGACTCTACATACATGTGTCATGTGACTGTTATAGACACATGTGTGTCATGTGACTGTTATAGACACATGTGTGTCATGTGACTGTTATAGACACATGTGTGTCATGTGACTGTTATAGACACATGTGTGTCATGTGACTGTTATAGACACGTGTGTGTCATGTGACTGTTATAGACACGTGTGTGTCATGTGACTGTTATAGACACGTGTGTGTCATGTGACTGTTATAGACACGTGTGTGTCATGTGACTGTTATAGACACATGTGTGTCATGTGACTGTTATAGACACGTGTGTGTCATGTGACTGTTATAGACACGTGTGTGTCATGTGACTGTTATAGACACATGTGTGTCATGTGACTGTTATAGACACGTGTGTGTCATGTGACTGTTATAGACACGTGTGTGTCATGTGACTGTTATAGACACATGTGTGTCATGTGACTGTTATAGACACATGTGTCATGTGACTGTTATAGACACGTGTGTGTCATGTGACTGTTATAGACACATGTGTGTCATGTGACTGTTATAGACACGTGTGTGTCATGTGACTGTTATAGACACGTGTGTGTCATGTGACTGTTATAGACACGTGTGTGTGTCATGTGACTGTTATAGACACGTGTGTGTCATGTGACTGTTATAGACACATGTGTGTCATGTGACTGTTATAGACACGTGTGTGTGTCATGTGACTGTTATAGACACGTGTGTGTCATGTGACTGTTATAGACACATGTGTGTCATGTGACTGTTATAGACACGTGTGTGTCATGTGACTGTTATAGACACATGTGTGTCATGTGACTGTTATAGACACATGTGTGTCATGTGACTGTTATAGACACGTGTGTGTCATGTGACTGTTATAGACACATGTGTGTCATGTGACTGTTATAGACACGTGTGTGTCATGTGACTGTTATAGACACGTGTGTGTCATGTGACTGTTATAGACACGTGTGTGTCATGTGACTGTTATAGACACGTGTGTGTCATGTGACTGTTATAGACACATGTGTGTCATGTGACTGTTATAGACACGTGTGTGTCATGTGACTGTTATAGACACATGTGTGTCATGTGACTGTTATAGACACGTGTGTGTCATGTGACTGTTATAGACACGTGTGTGTCATGTGACTGTTATAGACACATGTGTGTCATGTGACTGTTATAGACACGTGTGTGTCATGTGACCTGTCTTACCTTCTTACGCTCCAGTCTCTCTTGCTCTTCTTTCTGAAAGTGCTTCTCTCGCTCCACACGCTGTTGCTCCGCCTCCTCTCGAGCTTTAGACTCCGCCTCCTCCCTCTGAAACAACAGTTTAAAGTGTTTAGACTCCGCCCCTCCCTCTGAAGTGTAGTTTAGACTCCACCCCCTCCCCAAAGTGTAGTTTAGACTCCGTCCCCTCCCTCTGAAGTGTAGTTTAGACTCCGCCCCTCCCTCTGAACTGTAGTTTAGACTCCGCCCCTCCCTCTGGAGTATAGTTTAGACTCTGCCCCTCCCTCTGAAGTATAGTTTAGACTCCGCCCCTCCCTCTGAAGTGTAGTTTAGACTCCGCCCCTCCCCAAAGTGTAGTTTAGACTCCGCCCCTCCCTCTGAAGTGTAGTTTTGACTCCGCCCCTCCCTCTGAACTGTAGTTTAGACTCCGCCCCTCCCTCTGAAGTGTAGTTTTGACTCCGCCCCTCCCTCTGAACTGTAGTTTAGACTCCGCCCCTCCCTCTGGAGTATAGTTTAGACTCCGCCCCTCCCTCTGAAGTGTAGTTTTGACTCCGCCCCTCCCTCTGAACTGTAGTTTAGACTCCGCCCCTCCCTCTGGAGTATAGTTTAGACTCCGCCCCTCCCTCTGAAGTATAGTTTAGACTCCGCCCCTCCCTCTGAAGTGTAGTTTAGACTCCGCCCCTCCCTCTGAAGTGTAGTTTAGACTCCGCCCCTCCCTCTGAAGTGTAGTTTAGACTCCACCCCCTCCCCAAAGTGTAGTTTAGACTCCGCCCCTCCCTCTGAAGTGTAGTTTAGACTCCGCCCCTCCCTCTGAACTGTAGTTTAGACTCCGCCCCTCCCTCTGGAGTATAGTTTAGACTCCGCCCCTCCCTCTGAAGTATAGTTTAGACTCCGCCCCTCCCTCTGAAGTGTAGTTTAGACTCCGCCCCTCCCTCTGAAGTGTAGTTTAGACTCCGCCCCTCCCTCTGAACTGTAGTTTAGACTCCGCCCCTCCCTCTGGAGTATAGTTTAGACTCCGCCCCTCCCTCTGAAGTATAGTTTAGACTCCGCCCCTCCCTCTGAAGTGTAGTTTAGACTCCGCCCCTCCCTCTGAAGTGTAGTTTAGACTCCGCCCCTCCCTCTGAAGTGTAGTTTAGACTCCACCCCTCCCTCTGGAGTGTAGTTTAGACTCCACCCCCTCCCCAAAGTGTAGTTTAGACTCCGCCCCTCCCTCTGAAGTGTAGTTTAGACTCCGCCCCTCCCTCTGAAGTATAGTTTAGACTCCGCCCCTCCCTCTGAAGTGTAGTTTAGACTCCACCCCTCCCTCTGAAGTATAGTTTAGACTCCGCCCCTCCCTCTGAAGTGTAGTTTAGACTCCGCCCCTCCCTCTGAAGTGTAGTTTAGACTCCGCCCCTCCCTCTGAAGTGTAGTTTAGACTCCGCCCCTCCCCTCTGAAGTGTAGTTTAGACTCCACCCCTCCCTCAAAGTGTAGTTTAGACTCCGCCCCTCCCTCTGAAGTGTAGTTTAGACTCCGCCCCTCCCTCTGAAGTATAGTTTAGACTCCGCCCCTCCCTCTGAAGTGTAGTTTAGACTCCGCCCCTCCCTCTGAAGTGTAGTTTAGACTCCACCCCTCCCTCTGAAGTATAGTTTAGACTCCGCCCCTCCCTCTGGAGTGTAGTTTAGACTCCGCCCCTCCCCAAAGTGTAGTTTAGACTCCGCCCGTGTGTGTAGATGAGGGTAGCTGTGTGTAGCTGTGTGTAGCTGTGTGTAGTTGTGTGTAGCTGTGTGTAGTTGTGTGTAGCTGTGTGTAGTTGTGTGTAGCTGTGTGTAGCTGTGTGTAGTTGTGTGTAGCTGTGTGTAGTTGTGTGTAGCTGTGTGTAGCTGTGTGTAGTTGTGTGTAGCTGTGTGTAGTTGTGTGTAGCTGTGTGTAGTTGTGTGTAGCTGTGTGTAGCTGTGTGTAGCTGTGTGTAGCTGTGTGTAGCTGTGTGTAGATAGGTGTAGTTGTGTGTAGCTGTGTGTAGCTGTGTGTAGTTGTGTGTAGTTGTGTGTAGCTGTGTGTAGCTGTGTGTAGCTGTGTGTAGCTGTGTGTAGATAGGTGTAGCTGTGTGTAGCTGTGTGTAGTTGTGTGTAGCTGTGTGTAGCTGTGTGTAGTTGTGTGTAGCTGTGTGTAGTTGTGTGTAGTTGTGTGTAGCTGTGTGTAGCTGTGTGTAGCTGTGTGTAGTGTGTGTAGCTGTGTGTAGTGTGTGTAGCTGTGTGTTAGCTGTGTGTAGCTGTGTGTAGTTGTGTGTAGCTGTGTGTAGCTGTGTGTAGTTGTGTGTAGCTGTGTGTAGCTGTGTGTAGTTGTGTGTAGCTGTGTGTAGTTGTGTGTCTTACCTGTCTCTGTGCTCGCTCGCCCTCCTCTCTCTCCCTCTCCTCTCTCTCCTCCCTCTCTCGCTCGTCCCTCAGTCTCTGCTGTTGAACCATAAACTGTGCTTCCTCCTCCCTCCTCCTCCTCTCCTCAGCCTCACGACACGAAGCCTCCTCACGAAGAACCCTGCATCACAAACACATGCAATCAAGAAGTCTCTGGCCTCTCTCTGGTCTGTCTCTGGTCTGTCTCTGGTCTGTCTCTGGTCTGTCTCTGGTCTGTCTCTGGTCTGTCTCTGGTCTGTCTCTGGCCTCTCTCTGGTCTCCCTCTGGTCTCTCTCTGGTCTGGTCTCCCTCTGGTCTCCCTCTGGTCTATCTCTGGTCTATCTCTGGTCTCTCTCTGGTCTATCTCTGGTCTGTCTCTGGTCTCCCTCTGGTCTCTCTCTGGTCTCTCTCTGGTCTCTCTCTGGTCTCTCTCTGGTCTCTCTCTGGTCTCTCTCTGGTCTCTCTCTGGGCTCCCTCTGCTCTATCTCTGGTCTATCTCTGGTCTATCTCTGGTCTATCTCTGGTCTCTCTCTGGTCTCTCTCTGGTCTCTCTCTGGTCTCTCTCTGGTCTCTCTCTCTGGTCTCTCTCTGGTCTGTCTCTGGTCTCTCTCTGGTCTCTCTCTGGTCTCTCTCTCTGGTCTCTCTCTCTGGTCTCCCTCTGGTCTCTCTCTGGTCTCCCTCTGGTCTCCCTCTGGTCTCTCTCTCTGGTCTCTCTCTGGTCTCTCTCTGGCCTCTCTCTGGCCTCTCTCTGGTCTCTCTCTGGTCTCTCTCTGGTCTCTCTCTCTGGTCTCTCTCTGGTCTCTCTCTGGTCTCTCTCTGGTCTCTCTCTTGTCTCTCTCTGGTCTCTCTCTCTGGTCTCTCTCTCTGGTCTCTCTCTCTGGTCTCTCTCTCTGGTCTCTCTCTCTGGTCTCTCTCTGGTCTCTCTCTGGTCTCTCTCTGGTCTCTCTCTGGTCTCCCTCTGGTCTCCCTCTGGTCTCCCTCTGGTCTCTCTCTGGTCTCTCTCTGGTCTCCCTCTGGTCTCTCTCTGGTCTCCCTCTGGTCTCCCTCTGGTCTCCCTCTGGTCTCCCTCTGGTCTCTCACCTGGTCCTCTGCTCCTGCTCCACTCGGTCTCTCTCCTCCTTCTCCCTCTGTTCTCGAGCCTGTCTCCTCTTCTCAGCCAGAGCTCTGGTGGCCTCCTCTGGGTCTGTGGTCCCGGCTGAGGGCCTGCCTACCCCAGGGGGAGGGGTGGGAGAGACCTGCCCCACGGGAGAGACTCGATCTGAGGCCAGGACTGAGGACGAGGGGGGGACAGTAGGGGTAGTTGAGGGAGGGTTAGGGCTGGCTGACTGTGTGGGTGAGGGTGAGGGTGAAGGGGGGTGAGGGGTGGAGGTCACTGTGGAGCTCGATGAGGGAGGGGTCACTGTGGAGCTCGATGAGGGAGGGGTCACTGTGGAGCTCGATGAGGGAGGGGTCACTGTGGAGCTCGATGAGGGAGGGGTCACTGTGGAGCTCGATGAGGGAGGGGTCACTGGAGCAGACGACACGACGATGGCAGGAACTTTAGAGTCTGCAACAAACAGAAGAATCAACACAAATATTATGGTTATTATTTATATTATTCATAAGTGCTGAAGAGAGGAGGCCAGAAGTCCTCCCACATTAGTCCTGGTCTCAGGTCTCTGTCCTGAAGTCCTCTCACATTAGTCCTGGTCTCAGGTCTCTGTCCTGAAGTCCTCTCACATTAGTCCTGGTCTCAGGTCTCTGTCCTGAAGTCCTCTCACATTAGTCCTGGTCTCAGGTCTCTGTCCTGAAGTCCTCCCACATTAGTCCTGGTCTCAGGTCTCTGTCCTGAAGTCCTCCCACATTAGTCCTGGTCTCAGGTCTCTGTCCTGAAGTCCTCTCACATTAGTCCTGGTCTCAGGTCTCTGTCCTGAAGTCCTCCCACATTAGTCCTGGTCTCAGGTCTCTGTCCTGAAGTCCTCTCACATTAGTCCTGGTCTCAGGTCTCTGTCCTGAAGTCCTCTCACATTAGTCCTGGTCTCAGGTCTCTGTCCTGAAGTCCTCTCACATTAGTCCTGGTCTCAGGTCTCTGTCCTGAAGTCCTCTCACATTAGTCCTGGTCTCAGGTCTCTGTCCTGAAGTCCTCTCACATTAGTCCTGGTCTCAGGTCTCTGTCCTGAAGTCCTCTCACATTAGTCCTGGTCTCAGGTCTCTGTCCTGAAGTCCTCTCACATTAGTCCTGGTCTCAGGTCTCTGTCCTGAAGTCCTCCCACATTAGTCCTGGTCTCAGGTCTCTGTCCTGAAGTCCTCCTCTCACATTAGTCCTGGTCTCAGGTCTCTGTCCTGAAGTCCTCTCACATTAGTCCTGGTCTCAGGTCTCTGTCCTGAAGTCCTCTCACATTAGTCCTGGTCTCAGGTCTCTGTCCTGAAGTCCTCTCACATTAGTCCTGGTCTCAGGTCTCTGTCCTGAAGTCCTCTCACATTAGTCCTGGTCTCAGGTCTCTGTCCTGAAGTCCTCTCACATTAGTCCTGGTCTCAGGTCTCTGTCCTGAAGTCCTCTCACATTAGTCCTGGTCTCAGGTCTCTGTCCTGAAGTCCTCTCACATTAGTCCTGGTCTCAGGTCTCTGTCCTGAAGTCCTCTCACATTAGTCCTGGTCTCAGGTCTCTGTCCTGAAGTCCTCCCACATTAGTCCTGGTCTCAGGTCTCTGTCCTGAAGTCCTCTCACATTAGTCCTGGTCTCAGGTCTCTGTCCTGAAGTCCTCCCACATTAGTCCTGGTCTCAGGTCTCTGTCCTGAAGTCCTCTCACATTAGTCCTGGTCTCAGGTCTCTGTCCTGAAGTCCTCCCACATTAGTCCTGGTCTCAGGTCTCTGTCCTGAAGTCCTCTCACATTAGTCCTGGTCTCAGGTCTCTGTCCTGAAGTCCTCTCACATTAGTCCTGGTCTCAGGTCTCTGTCCTGAAGTCCTCTCACATTAGTCCTGGTCTCAGGTCTCTGTCCTGAAGTCCTCTCACATTAGTCCTGGTCTCAGGTCTCTGTCCTGAAGTCCTCTCACATTAGTCCTGGTCTCAGGTCTCTGTCCTGAAGTCCTCTCACATTAGTCCTGGTCTCAGGTCTCTGTCCTGAAGTCCTCTCACATTAGTCCTGGTCTCAGGTCTCTGTCCTGAAGTCCTCTCACATTAGTCCTGGTCTCAGGTCTCTGTCCTGAAGTCCTCTCACATTAGTCCTGGTCTCAGGTCTCTGTCCTGAAGTCCTCCACATTAGTCCTGGTCTCAGGTCTCTGTCCTGAAGTCCTCTCACATTAGTCCTGGTCTCAGGTCTCTGTCCTGAAGTCCTCTCACATTAGTCCTGGTCTCAGGTCTCTGTCCTGAAGTCCTCTCACATTAGTCCTGGTCTCAGGTCTCTGTCCTGAAGTCCTCTCACATTAGTCCTGGTCTCAGGTCTCTGTCCTGAAGTCCTCTCACATTAGTCCTGGTCTCAGGTCTGTCCTGAAGTCCTCTCACATTAGTCCTGGTCTCAGGTCTCTGTCCTGAAGTCCTCTCACATTAGTCCTGGTCTCAGGTCTCTGTCCTGAAGTCCTCTCACATTAGTCCTGGTCTCAGGTCTCTGTCCTGAAGTCCTCTCACATTAGTCCTGGTCTCAGGTCTCTGTCCTGAAGTCCTCTCACATTAGTCCTGGTCTCAGGTCTCTGTCCTGAAGTCCTCTCACATTAGTCCTGGTCTCAGGTCTCTGTCCTGAAGTCCTCTCACATTAGTCCTGGTCTCAGGTCTCTGTCCTGAAGTCCTCTCACATTAGTCCTGGTCTCAGGTCTCTGTCCTGAAGTCCTCTCACATTAGTCCTGGTCTCAGGTCTCTGTCCTGAAGTCCTCTCACATTAGTCCTGGTCTCAGGTCTCTGTCCTGAAGTCCTCTCACATTAGTCCTGGTCTCAGGTCTCTGTCCTGAAGTCCTCTCACATTAGTCCTGGTCTCAGGTCTCTGTCCTGAAGTCCTCTCACATTAGTCCTGGTCTCAGGTCTCTGTCCTGAAGTCCTCTCACATTAGTCCTGGTCTCAGGTCTCTGTCCTGAAGTCCTCTCACATTAGTCCTGGTCTCAGGTCTCTGTCCTGAAGTCCCCTCACATTAGTCCTGGTCTCAGGTCTCTGTCCTGAAGTCCTCTCACATTAGTCCTGGTCTCAGGTCTCTGTCCTGAAGTCCTCTCACATTAGTCCTGGTCTCAGGTCTCTGTCCTGAAGTCCTCTCACATTAGTCCTGGTCTCAGGTCTCTGTCCTGAAGTCCTCTCACATTAGTCCTGGTCTCAGGTCTCTGTCCTGAAGTCCTCTCACATTAGTCCTGGTATCAGGTCTCTGTCCTGAAGTCCTCTCACATTAGTCCTGGTCTCAGGTCTCTGTCCTGAAGTCCTCTCACATTAGTCCTGGTCTCAGGTCTCTGTCCTGAAGTCCTCTCACATTAGTCCTGGTCTCAGGTCTCTGTCCTGAAGTCCTCTCACATTAGTCCTGGTCTCAGGTCTCTGTCCTGAAGTCCTCTCACATTAGTCCTGGTCTCAGGTCTCTGTCCTGAAGTCCTCTCACATTAGTCCTGGTCTCAGGTCTCTGTCCTGAAGTCCTCTCACATTAGTCCTGGTCTCAGGTCTCTGTCCTGAAGTCCTCTCACATTAGTCCTGGTCTCAGGTCTCTGTCCTGAAGTCCTCTCACATTAGTCCTGGTCTCAGGTCTCTGTCCTGAAGTCCTCTCACATTAGTCCTGGTCTCAGGTCTCTGTCCTGAAGTCCTCTCACATTAGTCCTGGTCTCAGGTCTCTGTCCTGAAGTCCTCTCACATTAGTCCTGGTCTCAGGTCTCTGTCCTGAAGTCCTCTCACATTAGTCCTGGTCTCAGGTCTCTGTCCTGAAGTCCTCTCACATTAGTCCTGGTCTCAGGTCTCTGTCCTGAAGTCCTCTCACATTAGTCCTGGTCTCAGGTCTCTGTCCTGAAGTCCTCTCACATTAGTCCTGGTCTCAGGTCTCTGTCCTGAAGTCCTCTCACATTAGTCCTGGTCTCAGGTCTCTGTCCTGAAGTCCTCTCACATTAGTCCTGGTCTCAGGTCTCTGTCCTGAAGTCCTCTCACATTAGTCCTGGTCTCAGGTCTCTGTCCTGAAGTCCTCTCACATTAGTCCTGGTCTCAGGTCTCTGTCCTGAAGTCCTCTCACATTAGTCCTGGTCTCAGGTCTCTGTCCTGAAGTCCTCTCACATTAGTCCTGGTCTCAGGTCTCTGTCCTGAAGTCCTCTCACATTAGTCCTGGTCTCAGGTCTCTGTCCTGAAGTCCTCTCACATTAGTCCTGGTCTCAGGTCTCTGTCCTGAAGTCCTCTCACATTAGTCCTGGTCTCAGGTCTCTGTCCTGAAGTCCTCTCACATTAGTCCTGGTCTCAGGTCTCTGTCCTGAAGTCCTCTCACATTAGTCCTGGTCTCAGGTCTCTGTCCTGAAGTCCTCTCACATTAGTCCTGGTCTCAGGTCTCTGTCCTGAAGTCCTCTCACATTAGTCCTGGTCTCAGGTCTCTGTCCTGAAGTCCTCTCACATTAGTCCTGGTCTCAGGTCTCTGTCCTGAAGTCCTCTCACATTAGTCCTGGTCTCAGGTCTCTGTCCTGAAGTCCTCTCACATTAGTCCTGGTCTCAGGTCTCTGTCCTGAAGTCCTCTCACATTAGTCCTGGTCTCAGGTCTCTGTCCTGAAGTCCTCTCACATTAGTCCTGGTCTCAGGTCTCTGTCCTGAAGTCCTCTCACATTAGTCCTGGTCTCAGGTCTCTGTCCTGAAGTCCTCTCACATTAGTCCTGGTCTCAGGTCTCTGTCCTGAAGTCCTCTCACATTAGTCCTGGTCTCAGGTCTCTGTCCTGAAGTCCTCTCACATTAGTCCTGGTCTCAGGTCTCTGTCCTGAAGTCCTCTCACATTAGTCCTGGTCTCAGGTCTCTGTCCTGAAGTCCTCTCACATTAGTCCTGGTCTCAGGTCTCTGTCCTGAAGTCCTCTCACATTAGTCCTGGTCTCAGGTCTCTGTCCTGAAGTCCTCTCACATTAGTCCTGGTCTCAGGTCTCTGTCCTGAAGTCCTCTCACATTAGTCCTGGTCTCAGGTCTCTGTCCTGAAGTCCTCTCACATTAGTCCTGGTCTCAGGTCTCTGTCCTGAAGTCCTCTCACATTAGTCCTGGTCTCAGGTCTCTGTCCTGAAGTCCTCTCACATTAGTCCTGGTCTCAGGTCTCTGTCCTGAAGTCCTCTCACATTAGTCCTGGTCTCAGGTCTCTGTCCTGAAGTCCTCTCACATTAGTCCTGGTCTCAGGTCTCTGTCCTGAAGTCCTCTCACATTAGTCCTGGTCTCAGGTCTCTGTCCTGAAGTCCTCTCACATTAGTCCTGGTCTCAGGTCTCTGTCCTGAAGTCCTCTCACATTAGTCCTGGTCTCAGGTCTCTGTCCTGAAGTCCTCTCACATTAGTCCTGGTCTCAGGTCTCTGTCCTGAAGTCCTCTCATATTGGTCCTGGTCTCAGGTCTCTGTCCTGAAGTCCTCTCACATTAGTCCTGGTCTCAGGTGTAAATGTCTAAATATTAAACAGAGAGAAGCTGAGGCTCAGACTCGGTCCAGATTCAGACCGTGACCAATGAATGGTCTCCGCTCACAGAAACTCATTTGGGATTTCAAACCTCAGACTGAGCCGCAGAAAATCCTGTTACGAACATCTTTTATGTCTTTATTTGTCTGATAAATGAGAGATTCTGAAGAGCTTCCTCCTCCTGCTCTGCCTCAGAACCTTCTCAATCCTTCAACGGCTTTGGACAAAGTTGAGAAAACCAGACTTTTCAAATGTGACTTAGATCTGAGAGACTGAGCTGGAAATAGCCACGAATTGCAAATAAAGGCGTCGGATTGGTCCATCGTTACGGCTTTTATCAAGGACAATATAGAAATAAAAACAGCAGGATCACAGAGAGGCCTGAACCACACACTTTTAAACCCAAAACAGTGACTGAGAGAGAGGAGTTTAAGATTAAAAGTGTATAAGAGGATTTTCCCACATTTTAGAAAAGAACCTCCTGCTCCAGAGAGACCGCCTACACGTGCACGAGCCCACATGTCCCCGTGCACGCTCTGTTTACAAGAAGCTAGTATAACATCTCTAGCTTTAGCATAATAAAGAAGCTAGTATAACATCTCTAGCTTTAGCATAATAAAGAAGCTAGTATAACATCTCTAGCTTTAGCATAATAAAGAAGCTAGTATAACATCTCTAGCTTTAGCATAATAAAGAAGCTAGTATAAAATCTCTAGCTTTAGCATAATAAAGAAGCTAGTATAAAATCTCTAGCTTTAGCATAATAAAGAAGCTAGTATAAAATCTCTAGCTTTAGCATAATAAAGAAGCTAGTATAAATCTCTAGCTTTAGCATAATAAAGAAGATAGTATAAAATCTCAAGGGTCAATAGAAGCCAAAACCTCGCCCATGAGCACTTCCCTGTTGAGCTAGCGTGTTAGCGTTGTCCATCTATATATAATCTACAGCGACAACATCACAGATTTGACACATTCAGCCTGGTGTGGTCCAGAATCTGTTACAGCACTTTGGCCCAGGGCACCTCCCTCCCCCTCCTCCCTCCCCCTCCTCCCTCCTCCCTCCCCCATCACTCCCTCCCCCTCCTATCTCCCCCATCACTCCCTCTCCTCCCCCCCTCTCCTCCCCCCACATCCATCACCATCCAGTTAATATTGTATCAGCAGAGACAGAGAGTCCATTTCTTATTTACACAGAGGTGCTGTGTGGCAGGTCGGGGATTAGCCTCGGTGCACACATACCCCCACCGACACTTTACTGCAGCATTTTACTGCTTTTTCTACAGGAAGTTAGACACAGGAAGTTAGACACAGGAAGTTAGACACAGGAAGTTAGAGACAGGAAGTTAGACACAGGAAGTTAGACACAGGAAGTTAGACACAGGAAGTTAGAGACAGGAAGTTAGAGACAGGAAGTTAGACACAGGAAGTTAGACACAGGAAGTTAGAGACAGGAAGTTAGACAGAGGAAGTTAGAGACAGGAAGTTAGACACAGGACGTTAGACACAGGAAGTTAGAGACAGGAAGTTAGAGACAGGAAGTTAGACACAGGAAGTTAGAGACAAGAAGTTAGACACAGGAAGTTAGAGACAGGAAGTTAGAGACAGGAAGTTAGACACAGGAAGTTAGAGACAAGAAGTTAGACACAGGAAGTTAGAGACAGGAAGTTAGACACAGGAAGTTAGACACAGGAAGTTAGAGACAGGAAGTTAGAGACAGGAAGTTAGAGACAGGAAGTTAGAGACAGGAAGTTAGACACAGGAAGTTAGAGACAAGAAGTTAGACACAGGAAGTTAGAGACAGGAAGTTAGACACAGGAAGTTAGACACAGGAAGTTAGAGACAGGAAGTTAGAGACAGGAAGTTAGACACAGGAAGTTAGAGACAGAAGTTAGACACAGGAAGTTAGAGACAGGAAGTTAGAGACAGAGGAAGTTAGAGACAGGAAGTTAGACACAGGAAGTTAGAGACAGGAAGTTAGAGACAGGAAGTTAGAGACAGGAAGTTAGACAGAGGAAGTTAGAGACAGGAAGTTAGACACAGGACGTTAGACACAGGAAGTTAGAGACAGGAAGTTAGACACAGGAAGTTAGAGACAGGAAGTTAGAGACAGGAAGTTAGACACAGGAAGTTAGACACAGGAAGTTAGAGACAGGAAGTTAGACACAGGAAGTTAGAGGAAGTTAGACACAGGAAGTTAGAGACAGGAAGTTAGACACAGGACGTTAGACACAGGAAGTTAGAGACAGGAAGTTAGAGACAGGAAGTTAGACACAGGAAGTTAGAGACAAGAAGTTAGACACAGGAAGTTAGAGACAGGAAGTTAGAGACAGGAAGTTAGACACAGGAAGTTAGAGACAGGAAGTTACGAGACACAGGAAGTTAGAGACAGGAAGTTAGACACAGGGACAGGAAGTTAGACACAGGAAGTTAGAGACAAGAAGTTAGGACAGGAAGTTAGACACAGGAAGTCAGACACAGGAAATTAGACACAGGAAGTTAGACACAGGAAATTAGACACAGGAAGTTAGACACAGGAAGTTAGAGACAAGAAGTTAGACACAGGAAGTTAGAGACAGGAAGTTAGAGACAGGAAGTTAGACACAGGAAGTTAGAGACAGGAAGTTAGACACAGGAAGTTAGACACAGGAAGTTAGACACAGGAAGTCAGACACAGGAAATTAGACACAAGAAGTTAGACACAGGAAATTAGACACAAGAAGTTAGACACAGGAAATTAGACACAGGAAGTTAGACACAGGAAGTTAGAGACAGGAAGTTAGAGACAAGAAGTTAGACACAGGAAGTTAGAGACAGGAAGTTAGAGACAGGAAGTTAGAGACAAGAAGTTAGACACAGGAAGTTAGAGACAGGAAGTTAGACACAGGAAGTTAGACACAGGAAGTTAGACACAGGAAGTTAGAGACAGGAAATTAGACACAAGAAGTTAGAGACAGGAAGTTAGACACAGGAAGTTAGACACAGGAAGCTAGACACAGGAAGCTAGAGACAGGAAGTTAGAGACAGGAAGTTAGAGACAGGAAGTTAGACACAGGAAGTCAGACAGAGGAAGTTAGACACAGGAAGTTAGACACAGGAAGTTAGAGACAGGAAGTTAGAGACAGGAAGTTAGAGACAGGAAGTTAGAGACAGGAAGTTAGAGACAGGAAGTTAGAGACAGGAAGTTAGACACAGGAAGTTAGAGACAGGAAGTTAGAGACAGGAAGTTAGACACAGGAAGTTAGAGACAGGAAGTTAGACACAGGAAGTTAGAGACAAGAAGTTAGACACAGGAAGTTAGAGACAGGAAGTTAGAGACAGGAAGTTAGATACAGGAAGTTAGAGACAGGAAGTTAGACACAGGAAGTTAGACACAGGAAGTTAGACACAGGAAGTCAGACACAGGAAATTAGACACAAGAAGTTAGACACAGGAAATTAGACACAAGAAGTTAGACACAGGAAATTAGACACAGGAAGTTAGACACAGGAAGTTAGAGACAGGAAGTTAGAGACAAGAAGTTAGACACAGGAAGTTAGAGACAGGAAGTTAGAGACAGGAAGTTAGAGACAAGAAGTTAGACACAGGAAGTTAGAGACAGGAAGTTAGACACAGGAAGTTAGACACAGGAAGTTAGACACAGGAAGTTAGAGACAGGAAATTAGACACAAGAAGTTAGAGACAGGAAGTTAGACACAGGAAGTTAGACACAGGAAGCTAGACACAGGAAGCTAGAGACAGGAAGTTAGAGACAGGAAGTTAGAGACAGGAAGTTAGACACAGGAAGTCAGACAGAGGAAGTTAGACACAGGAAGTTAGACACAGGAAGTTAGAGACAGGAAGTTAGAGACAGGAAGTTAGAGACAGGAAGTTAGAGACAGGAAGTTAGAGACAGGAAGTTAGAGACAGGAAGTTAGACACAGGAAGTTAGAGACAGGAAGTTAGAGACAGGAAGTTAGACACAGGAAGTTAGAGACAGGAAATGTGGATCAGGATTTTTTCTATTACTATTTCAAACTCTGACGTCACCGACACCGACCTACAACACCCGCCTCCCCCGCTCTCTGATTGGTCGAAGGGGATTCAACCGAGGAAACTGCAGCCACTAGGATCAGACCCAGACGTACATGTAGGAAATGATCATGGACCAGAGTTTACACATGGTAAGACCAGAGTTTACACATGGTAAGACCAGAGTTTACACATGGTAAGACCAGAGTTTACACACGGTAAAACCAGGGCCTGTATTTCTCTTTATAACACTGTGTAATTATTGTGTGATTTTCATGTCTTTCTCTGGTTTAGTTCAGCACTTTTGAGTTGCCTTGTGTATGAACCGTGGTATATAAATAAACTTGCCTAAAGGTGACTACAGTATGGTCCTCCCCGTCTGGGAAACACACAGTAGAAAAACTAGTAAACCAGATGTGTTTTATTCTAATCACTACAGAATGGTAAACTTCTCTCTGTGTTTCTCTGACTGTTGTAAACAAACACTTTAGGTTTCTTATTTTCTCTCTCTTTTCTCAGTAAAACTATGTGTCTAATCGGCGAAAACAACCTCTGGCATGCGTTTCACACCCCCCCCCCCCCCCCCCCCCCCTCCAATTAGACACTGTGTGAAATTAGCATTCTTGAATTTCAATAATCCCAACATGACCGGAGCATCAAAGGCCCGAGAGCTGCAGTCTGTGTAACCACTCATTAATCCACTCTGGAGCAGCTCCACCAGAGTGGAGCACGGACGGGCACTGGACTGGGCATGAGGCAGGGGGCATGAGGCAGGGGGCAGGGGGTGGTGGGTCCTCTGCAGGTACACAACTTTACCTATTCACTTAAAGATGGAGTTGATTTGTTTGTGTTTTTGCAGTTTAAAAGTGTTTAAATAGACATTGTTATTGGTTTTGTTGCTGCTATTAATGTAGTTTTGTGTTTTTTGTTGTTTTCACATTTATATTTGTCCATTTTTCATGAGCACATAAAGAATGACTACTGTATATTTCAGAAGCTTCAGGACCTGAATAAAAACAAACAGATCCTTTCATCTATGGTCTCCCATCCACTAACAACTGCACTGAGGACCGAGTCTGAACCCTGAGGACCGAGTCTGAACCCTGAGGACCGAGTCTGAACCCTGAGGACCGAGTCTGGACCCTGAGGACCGAGTCTGGACCCTGAGGACCGAGTCTGAACCCTGAGGACCGAGTCTGGACCCTGAGGACCGAGTCTGAACCCTGAGGACCGAGTCTGAACCCTGAGGACCGAGTCTGAACCCTGAGGACCGAGTCTGGACCCTGAGGACCGAGTCTGAACCCTGAGGACTGAGTCTGAACCAAGACTGAACCCTGAGGACCGAGTCTGAACCAAGACTGAACCCTGAGGACCGAGTCTGAACCCTGAGGACTGAGTCTGAACCCTGAGGACCGAGTCTGAACCCTGAGGACCGAGTCTGAATCCTGAGGACTGAGTCTGACCCCTGAGGACCGAGTCTGAACCCTGAGGACCGAGTCTGAACCAAGACTGAACCCTGAGGACCGAGTCTGAACCCTGAGGACTGAGTCTGAACCCTGAGGACCGAGTCTGAATCCTGAGGACTGAGTCTGATTCCTGAGGACTGAGTCTGACCCCTGATTCTTATTATATAAGTATGATGTTTTATTATTATTATGACTATTACTATTATAATGTTTATCATTCTCATTATTGTAATCATCAGTGTGCAGTGGCTGTGGGGGCAGGCAGGGGGCGCTGTGGGGGCAGGCAGGGGGCGCTGTGGGGGCAGGCAGGGGGCGCTGTGGGGGCAGGCAGGGGGCGCTGTGGGGGCAGGCAGGGGGCGCTGTGGAGCAGGGCAGGCAGGGGGCGCTGTGGGGGCAGGCAGGGGGCGCTGTGGAGCAGGCAGGGGGCGCTGTGGAGCAGGCAGGGGGCGCTGTGGAGCAGGCAGGGGGCGCTGTGGGAGCAGGGCAGGCAGGGGGCGCTGTGGGGGCAGGCAGGGGGCGCTGTGGAGCAGGCAGGGGGCGCTGTGGAGCAGGCAGGGGGCGCTGTGGGGGCAGGCAGGGGGCGCTGTGGAGCAGGCAGGGGGCGCTGTGGAGCAGGCAGGGGGCGCTGTGGGGGCAGGCAGGGAGCGCTGTGGGGGCAGGCAGGGGCGCTGTGGGGGCAGGCAGGGGGCGCTGTGGAGCAGGCAGGGAGCGCTGTGGAGCAGGCAGGGGGCGCTGTGGGGGCAGGCAGGGGGCGCTGTGGGGGCAGGCAGGGGGCGCTGTGGGGGCAGGCAGGGGGCGCTGTGGAGCAGGCAGGGGGCGCTGTGGAGCAGGCAGGGGGCGCTGTGGAGCAGGCAGGGGGCGCTGTGGAGCAGGCAGGGGGCGCTGTGGAGCAGGCAGGGGGCGCTGTGGAGCAGGCAGGGGGCGCTGTGGAGCAGGCAGGGGGCGCTGTGGAGCAGGCAGGGGGGCGCTGTGGAGGGGCAGGCAGGGGGCGCTGTGGGGGCAGGCAGGGGGCGCTGTGGAGCAGGGCAGGCAGGGGGCGCTGTGGAGCAGGGCAGGCAGGGGGCGCTGTGGAGCAGGCAGGGGGCGCTGTGGAGCAGGCAGGGGGCGCTGTGGAGCAGGCAGGGGGCGCTGTGGGGGCAGGCAGGGGGCGCTGGAGCAGGGATGTGCATCAGTCCTGCCACATTTCTTCAGAGGTTTGGACGCAGCCCGAGGCAAACACAGCGATCACTGGAATATTCAGATTAAAGAGAGACTGGTCTGTGCAGAGAGGCTTCATGTGAACGGGTCTGACAGAACCTCAGAGAGAGAGGCTTCATGTGAACGGGTCTGACAGAACCTCAGAGAGAGAGGCTTCATGTGAACGGGTCTGACAGAACCTCAGAGAGAGAGGCTTCATGTGAACGGGTCTGACAGAACCTCAGAGAGAGGCTTCATGTGAACGGGTCTGACAGAACCTCAGAGAGAGGCTTCATGTGAACGGGTCTGACAGAACCTCAGAGAGAGGCTTCATGTGAACGGGTCTGACAGAACCTCAGAGAGAGGCTTCATGTGAACGGGTCTGACAGAACCTCAGAGAGAGGCTTCATGTGAACGGGTCTGACAGAACCTCAGAGAGAGGCTTCATGTGAACGGGTCTGACAGAACCTCAGAGAGAGGCTTCATGTGAACGGGTCGGACAGAACCTCAGAGAGAGGCTTCATGTGAACGGGTCTGACAGAACCTCAGAGAGAGGCTTCATGTGAACGGGTCGGACAGAACCTCAGAGAGAGGCTTCATGTGAACGGGTCTGACAGAACCTCAGAGAGAGGCTTCATGTGAACGGGTCGGACAGAACCTCAGAGAGAGGCTTCATGTGAACGGGTCTGACAGAACCTCAGAGAGAGAGGCTTCATGTGAACGGGTCTGACAGAACCTCAGAGAGAGGCTTCATGTGAACGGGTCTGACAGAACCTCAGAGAGAGGCTTCATGTGAACGGGTCTGACAGAACCTCAGAGAGAGGCTTCATGTGAACGGGTCTGACAGAACCTCAGAGAGAGGCTTCATGTGAACGGGTCGGACAGAACCTCAGAGAGAGGCTTCATGTGAACGGGTCTGACAGAACCTCAGAGAGAGGCTTCATGTGAACGGGTCGGACAGAACCTCAGAGAGAGGCTTCATGTGAACGGGTCTGACAGAACCTCAGAGAGAGGCTTCATGTGAACGGGTCGGACAGAACCTCAGAGAGAGGCTTCATGTGAACGGGTCTGACAGAACCTCAGAGAGAGAGGCTTCATGTGAACGGGTCTGACAGAACCTCAGAGAGAGGCTTCATGTGAACGGGTCTGACAGAACCTCAGAGAGAGGCTTCATGTGAACGGGTCTGACAGAACCTCAGAGAGAGAGGCTTCATGTGAACGGGTCTGACAGAACCTCAGAGAGAGGCTTCATGTGAACGGGTCTGACAGAACCTCAGAGAGAGGCTTCATGTGAACGGGTCGGACAGAACCTCAGAGAGAGGCTTCATGTGAACGGGTCTGACAGAACCTCAGAGCGAGGCTTCATGTGAACGGGTCTGACAGAACCTCAGAGAGAGGCTTCATGTGAACGGGTCTGACAGAACCTCAGAGAGAGGCTTCATGTGAACGGGTCTGACAGAACCTCAGAGAGAGAGAGGTCTCAGTGTGGAGGACACAGAGGACCTCAGTGAGACGTGTTTATGTGAATGTGCTCGTTAGACTCATTAAATCATGTTTGATTATTTACAGACGGCACTAATCTCACCACTGCTCCTTCATGTTCGCGGATCATCAGACTCAGAGTGACTCGTCTGTGGGACGCTTGCTCCTTCATGTTCGCGGATCATCAGACTCAGAGTGAGTCGTCTGTGGGACACTTGCTCCTTCATGTTCGCGGATCATCAGACTCAGAGTGACTCGTCTGTGGGACACTTGCTCCTTCATGTTCGCGGATCATCAGACTCAGAGTGAGTCGTCTGTGGGACACTTGCTCCTTCATGTTCGCGGATCATCAGACTCAGAGTGACTCGTCTGTGGGACGCTTGCTCCTTCATGTTCACGGATCATCAGACTCAGAGTGAGTCGTCTGTGGGACACTTGCTCCTTCATGTTCACGGATCATCAGACTCAGAGTGAGTCGTCTGTGGGACACTTGCTCCTTCATGTTCACGGATCATCAGACTCAGAGTGACTCGTCTGTGGGACGCTTGCTCCTTCATGTTCACGGATCATCAGACTCAGAGTGAGTCGTCTGTGGGACGCTTGCTCCTTCATGTTCACGGATCATCAGACTCAGAGTGACTCGTCTGTGGGACGCTTGCTCCTTCATGTTCACGGATCATCAGACTCAGAGTGAGTCGTCTGTGGGACACTTGCTCCTTCATGTTCGCGGATCATCAGACTCAGAGTGACTCGTCTGTGGGACACTCCCGGAGCAGTCATTTTGACTGTTTTTAGTTTTGGAAGTGAAAATACTCTGCTTCTATATCCAGGTTATTTCTTTGTCATTATTTTTATATTCATCATAAGTTATTACACCTGTAGTTACACCTTTAACTTATTTAGAATAGAATGACATTTAACATGAAATAAAAAACATTTTAATTTAAAACTAAAATGTAGTCATTTTGGCAACAGACATTCTATTAAAGCTAAAACCCCTTTTCTCAAGATGCAGCGATAGACTGTCACGCCTATCTCCACCGCTCAAACAAATGGGCCAAAAATTGTGCTCTACTGGAGCTAAAAATTTGGAAAAAACACATCTGTGCATGTGTCAGCCGGAGAGAGCTTCATTCATTTGAACAGAGACTTCTAAAGTCCACAGCGACTAAACTAGACTGGTCCAGAACACTCAGCATTGACACACATGTGGAACGGAGCTTTGGGCCAAGAACCACTTTTGGACCATCCTGTAAAGACGTTTTGCAGAGGTAAGAAGATGCTATATTTTAGCATTGGCTAATTCTACTTCTGGGTCCACCCCCACAGGCCCGGGGTGGTACTGCAGCATGTCAGCGCCCCCACTGGATGCATCACAGGTATAAACAGGAAACAGCTTCAGAGAGAAAGATTTAGGGGAAATTATTCCATCGTGAAGCATATGTAGTATATGTAAAACAAGCAGATACAGACAGATTTGAGGCGACATATTTGACGGATGGACGACACATGAGAATGTTTAGAGGAGCTCCACAGGGGTCAGGGGTCAGCGCTGGGACCACACTAGTTATAGGAAATCTATGAAACGTTTGAAATGTCAAAACTAATGAAATTCATTCTCCTTTGTTCTAGTATCAGGAGAGGTGTACGGTGTGTGTATGTGTGTGTGTGCGTCTGTGTGTGTGTGTGTGTCTGAGTGTGTGTGTGTGTGTGTGTGTCTGTGTGTGTCTGAGTGTGTGTGTGTGTGTGTGTGTGTGTGTGTGTTGTAAGGCACAGGAAGAGACAGAGCAGGTCTCAAAGTGTTTAGCTCTGTTTATGCACAGAGCAGCTCTAACAGCGCGTCTCAAACACACGTGTGCATACGGGTACGGCAGCAGGTGTGTGTATGTGTGTATATGTGTGTGTGTGTGTCTCTGTGTGTGTATGTGTGTATATGTGTGTGTGTGTGTACAGGTGCGGCTGCATACAGTCGTCATGTGAATCTTCTGTTGTGACAGGATTCCAGAGGCTGACAAAACAGTATTTACTCTAAGTGCGGCGTGTGTGGGTGTTTTTGTGTGTGTGAGTGTGAGTGTGTGTGTGTCTGTGTGTGTGTGTGACTGTGAAGACTTAATGAGGGAGTGTTTTGTCAGTTTTTTAGGAAACACAAAACTAAACATCAGCAGAAGAAACGAAGAGTGTGTGTGCGTGTGTGTGTGTGTGTATGTGTGTGTGTGTGTATGCGTGTGTGTGTGTGTGTATGTGTGTGTGTGTGTGTGTCAGTCTGGACCAAAGTAACAGAATGCATCATAGATAAACACTGAACGAAGCACTGATGATGACTGAGTTTATGTGAATGCGACACTATGGTCTGTAACACATCAGGTTTGAAGTGTGTGTGTGTGTGTGTGTGTGTGTGTGTGTGTGTGTGGGACCATGTGGACGTGGGAATGAAACCATGACTCACCTGGTAAAGGATCAGCAGCAGCAGCAGCAGCAGCAGCAGCAGCAGCAGAGGGGAGAGAGAGAGAAGGGGAGATTAGACGAGGTAATGTAATATACTTCCTGAATCAACAAAACGAGGTCAAACTGGGCCTCACTGCACATGGTCGAACATGGAACACGTTTGTTTTATCTGGCAACGCAGACAGCAGCGTGTACAGCAGGACCTCTCTGCTGAGTCCTGGTCAGTGTACCCTGGGTCTACAGCCTCAGTCCTGGGTCTACAGCCTCAGTCCTGGGTCTACAGCCTCAGTCCTGGGTCTACAGCCTCAGTCCTGGGTCTACAGCCTCAGTCCTGGGTCTACAGCCTCAGTCCTGGGTCTACAGCCTCAGTCCTGGATCTACAGCCTCAGTCCTAGATCTACAGCCTCAGTCCTGGGTCTACAGCCTCTTCCGGACAGTGATCATCCCGCTTCCTCTGGACTAATAGCTCCTACGTATTTGTTAATCCTGCATTTTCTGATGCATTTTTTGATTTTCTGATCTGCTGTTGAGGAATCGACAAATGTGTAAAGTCCTCTGAGAAGATTTCTGTTTTAATTCAGAGCCCACGGACAAATTCCTTTTCATAGCAACTTATGCAGAGGTCATGTTGATGAAATGAACACTGCCCCCCCCCTCACACTGCCCCCCCCCTCACACACTGCCCCCCCCCCCTTCTGTCAGGATGCAGGCGCCGAGTGCGTGAAGCGCCGGAGAATACGCGCCAAATGAGAGCGTAATTAAATTTCTCTCCATTAGGGACGAACGTGGTAATAACTCACACGGCGGGAGCGTAATGGCCATTAAGACGACTCTATCCCGAACATGGGGGGGGGCACAGGGGGGGGGGGGGGGGGGGGGGTTGGGGGGGGGCTGATGTGCTCCCCGTCAACATGAAACCATAATGACTCTTTGTGTTCAAGCAAGGACCTTTCAAGGACCTCTCCAGCCCTTTCAAGGCCCTGTGGCTGCTTTCATCTCCCGAGCCACAGGTCGGAGAATCTGTGTCTGGGTTACTCTAATTAGTAAAGTATATCAGCAGAACATGACTGCTTTGACTGCTGCGAACCGGCAACGGATGAAGCGGAAGAAAATGGATGGATAAGAACAGGATAGAAATAATCAGCTTTAGATTTTGGAAAAGTGTTGGATGACGCATTTTGGTTCCAACTCCTCACATTATAACACACACACACACATGACACACACACACACACACACATGACACAGGCCCAAACGCTCTCTGACCTCACAGACATCACTTATCTGAGCGACAAAGGGATAAATAAAGATTCATCTGTGAAAAGTCCATTAAAATCCACAGCATTTCCTCTGCCTTGTTTTGTTCCAGTCCAGGTGAAGTCCATCCTCTGTCCATCTGTGTGTGTGTGTGTGTGTGTGTGTGTGTGTGTGTGTGTGTTTGATCCCCACCCCTGACGAGCCTCCAGTTGTGCGCTCTTAGCCGGGCCCTGACAGCGGTGCACTGGCTTCACGCTCACTGGTCCAGGTAATTACCTCGTCCCCCTCCTCCCCCTCTCCTCCCCCCTCTCCTCCCCCCTCTCCCTCCAGCGCAGACACCATGGACTCATCCAGACAGAGACACTTTATGAATGTTTGTGTTTGGGCTAAAGTTATGGTTGAAACAGTCATGTCACATCATGGGCCTGGAAAACAATATGTTATGGCAGTGATGCTGGTCCTGGACCGGTCTTGGACTTGTCCTGGACTGGTCTTGGACCGGTCTTGGACTGGTCCTGAACCGGTCCTGGACCGGTCCTGCACTTGTCCTGGACTGGTCCTGGACTGGTCCTGAACTGGTCCTGGACTGGTCCTGGACTGGTCCTGGACCGGTCTTGGACTGGTCCTGGACCGGTCTTGGACTGGTCCTGGACTGGTCCTGGACTGGTTCTGTTCTGAGCTGAGTCTGAGCTGAGAGGAGCCAGTGTTTTAGATGCAGCAGTGTCTGGAAACAGCAGTTTCATAAGTGAATCTATCCATATTAGCCTTATATCAGCCTTTCAATAAACAGTTCCAGTGAAGAAAAGGTTAAACTTTTGGGTTATTTTTAGCGCGTCATTAATGGGAGCAGTCAAAATGACGGCTCTGGGAGTCCTGGTGTTAGTTTGGTGTCGTCCTGGTCTCGTATCGTTAGTTTGGTGTCGTCCTGGTCTCGTATCTGCAGGTGGCCCCTGAGGGCCTGGATCAGTGCTAATTTCACAGCTCACGGCGCCTGGCTCTGGCCCCGGCTCCGGAGCCTTTTATTTGTGAATCCAAGGTAAACTGCGGGTCTTCGGAGCGAGAGCAGCAGGCGCCGCTGTAATGGAGCAGAATCAAATTAAGACAATAGCGGTGCATCTGGCGCCCGTGGATCACGGCGGCGGCGAGCTCCCGCCGTACGCTGCTCATTATGGAAACACCTGGGAATGTGACCTGAATTAGAACGCGGCACTTTACGACTTTATCAAATGTTCTTTTCTTTGTGTTTTTGTCTGAGACGAACAAAGAACGAGAGAATTTTTTATATGAGGCTGAAAGGACAGAGTCAGGAGGAGGCTCTGCTGAGGCCCTCAGGGGCCAACAGGAGCCAATATATATAATACAAATAATTATATAATATATAATACATAATACATATGATATATAATACATTATATTTATATAAAACATATAATATATATAATAAATACAACATCAGGAGACAGAAGCTGCATATGTGATTGGTTCGACCTCAGCCCATGTGCAGAGATCTCCTCTCAATGGAAAAAGACTGGAAGAATTATTGCATAAAAAGATGCACCCGTCCCTTCTGTCCAAATGTCTCCTTTTCAAACCTGGTCCACTGTAATGAATCTTTGGACTGTGGCGTCACAAACTGAGATATCTGTGCCTTCAAAGACACTGGGCCAACAAGGATTTATATCCACTCCCACTTGGTAGGGTAGAGTAGAGTAGAGTAGAGTAGAGTAGAGTAGAGTAGAGTAGAGTAGAGTAGAGTAGAGTAGAGTAGGGTAGGGTAGAGTAGAGTAGAGTAGAGTAGAGTAGAGTAGAGTAGAGTAGAGTAGAGTAGGGTAGGGTAGAGTAGAGTAGAGTAGAGTAGAGTAGAGTAGAGTAGAGTAGAGTAGAGTAGTGTAGAGTAGGGTATAGTAGAGTAGAGTAGAGTAGAGTAGAGTAGAGTAGAGTAGAGTAGAGTAGAGTAGGGTATAGTAGAGTAGAGTAGAGTAGGGCAGAGTAGAGTAGAGTAGAATAGAGTAGAGTAGAGTAGAGCAGAGTAGAGTAGAGTAGAGTAGAGCAGAGTAGAGTAGGGTAGAGTAGAGTAGAGTAGAGCAGAGTAGAGTAGGGTAGAGTAGAGTAGAGTAGAGTAGAGTAGAGTAGGGTAGAGTAGAGTAGAGTAGAGTAGAGTAGAGTAGAGCAGGACAGAGTAGAGTAGGGTAGCGTAGAGTAGAGTAGGGCAGAGTAGAGCAGAGTAGAGTAGAGTAGAGTAGGGTAGCGTAGAGTAGAGTAGAGCAGAGTAGAGTAGGGTAGAATAGAGTAGAGTAGAGTAGGGCAGAGTAGAGTAGAGTAGAGTAGGGTAGCGTAGAGTAGGGTAGAGTAGAGTAGAGTAGAGTAGAGTAGAGTAGGGTAGGGTAGAGTAGAGTAGAGTAGAGTAGAGTAGGGTAGAGTAGAGTAGAGTAGAGTAGAGTAGGGCAGAGTAGAGTAGGGCAGAGTAGAGTAGAGTAGGGTAGAGTAGAGTAGAGTAGAGTAGAGTAGGGTAGAGTAGAGTAGGGCAGAGTAGAGTAGGGCAGAGTAGGGTAGAGTAGAGTAGAGTAGAGTAGGGTAGGGTAGAGTAGAGTAGGGCAGAGTAGAGTAGGGCAGAGTAGAGTAGGGCAGAGTAGGGTAGAGTAGAGTAGATGGAAGAGTAAATATTCTCAAGATCACTGATGTCAGTTGAGAGCTGACTTTATGTCCTTTCAGCATAAATCGCAAAAAAGTACCATTACAAAAACCCAGACCCAACCAGACCTGAACCAAGACCTCCACCCAGGACCAACCAGACCCTGAACCAAGACCTCCACCTAGGACCAACCAGACCTGAACCAAGACCTCCACCTAGGACCAACCAGACCCTGAACCAAGACCTCCACCTAGGACCAACCAGACCCTGAACCAAGACCTCCACCTAGGACCAACCAGACCCTGAACCAAGACCTCCACCTAGGACCAACCAGACCCTGAACCAAGACCTCCACCCAGACCAGTGGGGGAGGGTCCCGGCTCAAAAGTGTCCAAAATGACGTGCGCTGACACGCTGCAGTACCACCCCGGGCCTGTGGGGGTGGACCCAGACATGCTGCAGTACCACCCCGGGCCTGTGGGGGTGGACCCAGAATAAGAATTAGCCAATGCTAACATATAGCATCTTCTTACCTCTTCTTACCTCAGCATTGACACACACACACATGTGTGTGTCAATGCTGAGTGTTCTGGACCAGTCTAGTTTAGTCGCTGTGGACTTTAGAAGTCTCTCGTTTAAATGAATGGAGCTCTCTCCGGCTGACACATGCACAGATGCGTTTTTTCACATTTTCCAGCGCCCGCGGCCATTTTGAATCACTCCATGAAAGCCCAATCTTTGGCCCATTAGTTAGAACGGCGGAGACAACCAGATTAGCTGTAATAATTTAAAGCTACCCTCTTCTTCTACAGCGTTTAGCATTGGTCACCTTCCACACAGCCCCCCCTTCATCAGCAGAACCGACCGATCAATGGCTTCAGAAACAGCCTCATAATGGCCCGGATTAACCATGAAAAATTTGGTGTCATCCAGAAACCACTGGGTATTTATCAGCAGGAGAGGGGGGAGACGGGGGGAGACGGGGGAGAGAGGGGAGAGGGGGGGTCCGGGTAGCGCCCCAGTGGCCAGAGCTACAGTGCATGTGGCCCCTCTCTAATGGGACAGAGTGAGGCTCCATCATTGGGTCATTACTGTGGATCAGGAGGAATCTGTGGCGTTTTTCACCGAGATAAGGACCCCCCACGGTCACCGCAAAACACAGACCAGTCCAGTTATAGACCAGTCCAGCTACAGACCAGTCCAGCTACAGACCAGTATACAGACCAGTCCAGTTATAGACCAGTCCAGCTACAGACCAGTCCAGTTATAGACCAGTCCAGCTACAGACCAGTCCAGTTATAGACCAGTCCAGTTACAGACCAGTCCAGTTACAGACCAGTCCAGTTATAGACCAGTCCAGCTACAGACCAGTCCAGCTACAGACCAGTCCAGTTACAGACCAGTCCAGCTACAGACCAGTCCAGTTACAGACCAGTCCAGCTACAGACCAGTCCAGCTACAGACCAGTCCAGTTACAGACCAGTCCAGCTACAGACCAGTCCAGTTACAGACCAGTCCAGTTACAGACCAGTCCAGCTACAGACCAGTCCAGCTACAGACCAGTCCAGCTACAGACCAGTCCAGCTACAGACCAGTCCAGTTACAGACCAGTCCAGTTACAGACCAGTCCAGCTACAGACCAGTCCAGTTACAGACAAGTCCAGTTACAGACCAGTCCAGTTATAGACCAGTCCAGCTACAGACCAGTCCAGCTACAGACCAGTCCAGCTACAGACCAGTCCAGTTACAGACCAGTCCAGCTACAGACCAGTCCAGCTACAGACCAGTCCAGTTATAGACCAGTCCAGCTACAGACCAGTCCAGTTACAGACCAGTCCAGCTACAGACCAGTCCAGCTACAGACCAGTCCAGCTACAGACCAGTCCAGCTACAGACCAGTCCAGCTACAGACCAGTCCAGTTATAGACCAGTCCAGTTACAGACCAGTCCAGCTACAGACCAGTCCAGTTACAGACCAGTCCAGCTACAGACCAGTCCAGTTATAGACCAGTCCAGTTATAGACCAGTCCAGTTACAGACCAGTCCAGTTATAGACCAGTCCAGCTACAGACCAGTCCAGCTACAGACCAGTCCAGCTACAGACCAGTCCAGTTATAGACCAGTCCAGCTACAGACCAGTCCAGTTATAGACCAGTCCAGCTACAGACCAGTCCAGCTACAGACCAGTCCAGTTACAGACCAGTCCAGCTACAGACCAGTCCAGTTACAGACCAGTCCAGCTACAGACCAGTCCAGCTACAGACCAGTCCAGTTACAGACCAGTCCAGCTACAGACCAGTCCAGTTACAGACCAGTCCAGTTACAGACCAGTCCAGCTACAGACCAGTCCAGCTACAGACCAGTCCAGCTACAGACCAGTCCAGCTACAGACCAGTCCAGTTACAGACCAGTCCAGTTACAGACCAGTCCAGCTACAGACCAGTCCAGTTACAGACAAGTCCAGTTACAGACCAGTCCAGTTATAGACCAGTCCAGCTACAGACCAGTCCAGCTACAGACCAGTCCAGCTACAGACCAGTCCAGTTACAGACCAGTCCAGCTACAGACCAGTCCAGCTACAGACCAGTCCAGTTATAGACCAGTCCAGCTACAGACCAGTCCAGCTACAGACCAGTCCAGCTACAGACCAGTCCAGCTACAGACCAGTCCAGCTACAGACCAGTCCAGCTACAGACCAGTCCAGCTACAGACCAGTCCAGTTATAGACCAGTCCAGTTACAGACCAGTCCAGTTATAGACCAGTCCAGTTATAGACCAGTCCAGTTACAGACCAGTCCAGTTATAGACCAGTCCAGCTACAGACCAGTCCAGCTACAGACCAGTCCAGCTACAGACCAGTCCAGTTATAGACCAGTCCAGTTATAGACCAGTCCAGTTACAGACCAGTCCAGTTATAGACCAGTCCAGTTACAGACCAGTCCAGCTACAGACCAGTCCAGCTACAGACCAGTCCAGTTATAGACCAGTCCAGTTACAGACCAGTCCAGCTACAGACCAGTCCAGCTACAGACCAGTCCAGCTACAGACCAGTCCAGCTACAGACCAGTCCAGTTACAGACCAGTCCAGCTACAGACCAGTCCAGTTACAGACCAGTCCAGTTACAGACCAGTCCAGTTATAGACCAGTCCAGCTACAGACCAGTCCAGTTACAGACCAGTCCAGTTATAGACCAGTCCAGTTACAGACCAGTCCAGTTATAGACCAGTCCAGTTACAGACCAGTCCAGTTATAGACCAGTCCAGTTACAGACCAGTCCAGCTACAGACCAGTCCAGCTACAGACCAGTCCAGCTACAGACCAGTCCAGCTACAGACCAGTCCAGTTACAGACCAGTCCAGCTACAGACCAGTCCAGTTACAGACCAGTCCAGTTACAGACCAGTCCAGCTACAGACCAGTCCAGTTACAGACCAGTCCAGCTACAGACCAGTCCAGTTACAGACCAGTCCAGCTACAGACCAGTCCAGCTACAGACCAGTCCAGCTACAGACCAGTCCAGCTACAGACCAGTCCAGTTACAGACCAGTCCAGCTACAGACCAGTCCAGTTACAGACCAGTCCAGCTACAGACCAGTCCAGTTACAGACCAGTCCAGTTACAGACCAGTCCAGTTACAGACCAGTCCAGTTACAGACCAGTCCAGTTATAGACCAGTCCAGCTACAGACCAGTCCAGTTACAGACCAGTCCAGTTACAGACCAGTCCAGTTACAGACCAGTCCAGTTACAGACCAGTCCAGCTACAGACCAGTCCAGCTACAGACCAGTCCAGTTATAGACCAGTCCAGCTACAGACCAGTCCAGCTACAGACCAGTCCAGCTACAGACCAGTCCAGCTACAGACCAGTCCAGTTACAGACCAGTCCAGCTACAGACCAGTCCAGTTACAGACCAGTCCAGCTACAGACCAGTCCAGCTACAGACCAGTCCAGTTACAGACCAGTCCAGTTACAGACCAGTCCAGCTACAGACCAGTCCAGTTACAGACCAGTCCAGTTACAGACCAGTCCAGTTACAGACCAGTCCAGCTACAGACCAGTCCAGTTACAGACCAGTCCAGCTACAGACCAGTCCAGCTACAGACCAGTCCAGCTACAGACCAGTCCAGTTACAGACAAGTCCAGTTACAGACCAGTCCAGCTACAGACAAGTCCAGCTACAGACCAGTCCAGCTACAGACCAGTCCAGCTACAGACCAGTCCAGTTACAGACCAGTCCAGCTACAGACCAGTCCAGCTACAGACCAGTCCAGCTACAGACCAGTCCAGCTACAGACCAGTCCAGCTACAGACCAGTCCAGCTACAGACCAGTCCAGTTACAGACCAGTCCAGCTACAGACTAGTCCAGCTACAGACCAGTCCAGTTACAGACCAGTCCAGCTACAGACCAGTCCAGCTACAGACCAGTCCAGCTACAGACCAGTCCAGCTACAGACCAGTCCAGTTACAGACCAGTCCAGCTACAGACCAGTCCAGCTACAGACCAGTCCAGCTACAGACCAGTCCAGTTACAGACCAGTCCAGCTACAGACCAGTCCAGCTACAGACCAGTCCAGCTACAGACCAGTCCAGTTACAGACCAGTCCAGCTACAGACCAGTCCAGTTACAGACCAGTCCAGCTACAGACCAGTCCAGTTACAGACCAGTCCAGCTACAGACCAGTCCAGTTACAGACCAGTCCAGTTACAGACCAGTCCAGTTACAGACCAGTCCAGCTACAGACCAGTCCAGTTACAGACCAGTCCAGCTACAGACCAGTCCAGCTACAGACCAGTCCAGCTACAGACCAGTCCAGTTATAGACCAGTCCAGCTACAGACCAGTCCAGCTACAGACACAGACACAGACACAGACACAGACACAGACACAGACACAGACACAGATACAGACACAGACACAGACACAGACACAGACACAGACACAGACACAGACACAGACACAGACACAGACACAGACACAGACACAGACACAGACACAGACACAGACACAGACACAGACACAGACACACACACAGACACAGACACAGACACAGACACAGACACAGACACAGACACAGACACAGACACAGACACAGACACACAGACACAGACACAGACACAGACACAGACACAGACACAGACACAGACACAGACACAGACACACACACAGACACACACACAGACACAGACACAGACACAGACACAGACACGACACAGACACAGACACAGACACAGACACAGACACAGACACACACACAGACACAGACACAGACACAGACACAGACACAGACACAGACACAGACACAGACACAGACACAGACACAGACACAGACACAGACACAGACACAGACACAGACACAGACACAGACACAGACACAGACACAGACACAGACACAGACAGAGACACAGACACAGACAGAGACACAGACACAGACACAGACACAGACACAGACAGAGCAGCAGGTTCTTCAGTCCTAGAGCTTTAGAGAACCCCCCCCCCCCCCTTACTCCCCCATCCTGCATCCAGCCTCACCTCCCACATAAGCAGATCCCCAGAGTCACATTGGGGGGCAGTGAACGCTCTGACTGCAGGTGTTCGGAGCCGATAAGCCCTCAGCACCCTCACCCTCACCCTCACCCCCCCACGGAGCAGTGCCAGCCCGCCACGGCGAGGGGAGAGCCCGCAGACCGACACGGTAGCAGCGTGTGGAATGCTGTTTGCGAGAGGAGGCTTTTGAAAGTGCGACGGCGGGTTCGGCTCGTTTCAAAGCAATTAAGATTAATTAAGTGTGTCTGCAGCCACTCGCACTTCCACAGAACGCAGCATTAAAAAGCCATTATGGTTTATTTAGTAAATTTTAAAATGGGGAGAAGATAATGCAATTGCTCAATACATCTTTGAAGATCGTGGAAGCAATAAATCAGAAACCTCCGGGGAACGAGAGGCTGGAACTGTACATGCTAACAGGCGCTGGATCAGGGCAGAAAAGTGCAAAAAGAAGGAGATTTTAGGAAGAAAATCTATTTATAAAAATGGGAACGGATCAGAGCAGAACGAGGACAATGACGTGAGGCATTGTCTCTATAAATATAAGTGTGGATTATGGGAAATCTTCTTATTGACCAAAGAAAGATTTTTTACCATGAACCCATGGACTCCTCAGGATGTCTGTGTTACAACTGTGTTAGCTGTTAGCATCGTTGGCATTGTTAGCATTGTTAGGGACCAGAGAGAGAGACCAGAGAGACACCAGAGAGAGACCAGAGAGACACCAGAGAGACCAGAGAGGGACCAGAGAGAGACCAGAGAGAGACCAGGGAGAGACCAGAGAGACCAGAGAGAGACCAGAGAGAGACCAGAGAGACACCAGAGAGAGACCAGAGAGACACCAGAGAGAGACCAGAGAGAGACCAGAGAGAGACCAGAGAGACACCAGAGAGAGACCAGAGAGAGACCAGAGAGAGACCAGAGAGAGACCAGAGAGAGACCAGAGAGAGACCAGAGAGAGACCAGAGAGACCAGAGAGAGACCAGAGAGAGACCAGAGAGACCAGAGAGAGACCAGAGAGAAACCAGAGAGAGACCTGCGAGACCAGAGAGAGACCAGAGAGAGACCAGAGAGACACCAGAGAGAGACCAGAGAGAGACCTGCGAGACCAGAGAGAGACCAGAGAGAGACCAGAGAGAGACCAGAGAGACACCAGAGAGAGACCAGAGAGACACCAGAGAGAGACCAGAGAGAGACCAGAGAGAGACCAGAGAGACACCAGAGAGAGACCAGAGAGACACCAGAGAGACCAGAGAGGGACCAGAGAGAGACCAGAGAGAGACCAGGGAGAGACCAGAGAGAGACCAGAGAGAGACCAGAGAGAGACCAGAGAGACACCAGAGAGAGACCAGAGAGAGACCTGCGAGACCAGAGAGGGACCAGAGAGAGACCAGAGAGAGACCAGAGAGACACCAGAGAGAGACCAGAGAGACACCAGAGAGAGACCAGAGAGAGACCAGAGAGACACCAGAGAGAGACCAGAGAGAGACCAGAGAGAGAACACAGACCATTGGAGTAAAGTGTAGGACTTGTGTGTCTGTTTTAAACAAAGAGAATTAGATTTCTGAGTCCGACACGAAGACTGTGGAACTGAAGAACACCTGAGTTTTCTCGTGTTCTCGCTGTGACGCTGACGCTGCAATGCTCTGGGACAAACAGCTGTGTGTGTGTGTGTGTGTGTGTGTGTGTGTGTGTGTGTGTGTGTGTGTGTGTGTGTCTATGTCCTCTGGATGTCCCTCTGTCAGCAGCTCTATGTCCCCAGGGCCTCTCTGCACTAAGGGCCTGGTCCCCATAACTCTGACATGTGGACACACACACAGATACACACACACACACACACACACACACACACACACACACAGAGACACACACACACACACACACACACACACACACACACAGACACACACACACACACACACAGACACACACACACACACACACTCACACACACACACAGATACACACACACACACACACACACACACACACACACACACACACACACACACACACACAGGGAAAGGGCAAGTCTCTCATTGTTGACAGATCCCTGTCACTGCTGACATTTGCTCCACATCTGTGGGACATGTTCAGGTGAGACCCCTGTGTGTGTCTGTGTGTGTGTGTTTGTGTGTGTGTCTCTGTGTGTGTGTGTGTGTGTGTGTGTGTGTGTGTGTGTGTGTGTGTGTGTGTGTGTCTCTGTGTCTGTGTGTGTGTCTCCAGAGACTGATACATCTAGACGCTCATGCCACCACCAGTGCCTATGCTCTGGGGGATTCTCCTAGTGTTGTGCTGGTCCTCTCCTCTCTTTCTATAGTGTCATGCTGGTCCTCTCCTGTCTTTCTCCTAGTGTTGTGCTGGTCCTCTCCTCTCTTTCTCCTAGTGTTGTGCTGGTCCTCTCCTGTCTTTCTCCTAGTCTCATGCCGGTCCTCTCCTGTCTTTCTCCTAGTGTCATGCTGGTCCTCTCCTGTCTTTCTCCTAGTGTCATGCTGGTCCTCTCCTGTCTTTCTCCTAGTCTCATGCCGGTCCTCTCCTGTCTTTCTCCTAGTGTTGTGCTGGTCCTCTCCTCTCTTTCTCCTAGTGTCATGCTGGTCCTCTCCTGTCTTTCTCCTAGTGTCATGCTGGTCCTCTCCTGTCTTTCTCCTAGTCTCATGCCGGTCCTCTCCTGTCTTTCTCCTAGTGTTGTGCTGGTCCTCTCCTCTCTTTCTCCTAGTGTTGTGCTGGTCCTCTCCTCTCTTTCTCCTAGTGTCATGCTGGTCCTGTCCTGTCTTTCTCCTAGTGTCATGCTGGTCCTGTCCTGTCTTTCTCCTAGTGTTATGCTGGTCTTCTCCTGTCTTTCTTTCTAGTGTTGTGCTGGTCCTCTCCTCTCTTTCTCCTAGTGTTGTGCTGGTCCGCTCCGGTCTTTCTCCTAGTGTTGTGCTGGTCCTCTCCTGTCTTTCTCCTAGTCTCATGCCGGTCCTCTCAGGTCTTTCTAGTCCTTGTTCGCCCTGTTCCAATCTAGCAGCAGATCTAAAATCGAGCTAAACCAAGATTGCTGCCAATTTCAATTTTCACGGGAATAAATCTGGAGTATTCAGCTCGTTCTAATCCCGCTGAGGGAGTGGGAGTCAGCAGAAGTCTCCTCCTCCCTCTCTGGCCTCGGGCTCAGCAGCATCAGGCCACGGAGGGACCGCAAATGTTTAACCCAGGAACAAATACAAAAGAGCAGAGGCAGATGTGTGGAATCTGCGGACTCTGCAAAGACCAGAGCGAGACCAGAGGGAGACCAGAGAGAGACCAGGGAGAGACCAGAGAGAGACCAGAGAGAAGTACATTTCCAGCGTCTGCTGGTGCTGATGCGGCTGCTGGTGCTGGTGCGTCTGCTGGTGCTGGTGCGTCTGCTGGTGCTGGTGCGTCCGCTGGTGCTGGTGCCTCTGCTGGTGCGTCTGCTGGTGCCTCTGCTGGTGCTGGTGCGTCTGCTGGTGCTGGTGCCTCTGCTGGTGCGTCTGCTGGTGCTGGTGCCTCTGCTGGTGCTGGTGCGTCTGCTGGTGCTGGTGCCTCTGCTGGTGCGTCTGCTGGTGCCTTCTGCTGGTGCCTCTGCTGGTGCTGGTGCGTCTGCTGGTGCTGGTGCCTCTGCTGGTGCGTCTGTGCTGGTGCGTCTGCTGGTGCTGGTGCCTCTGCTGGTGCTGGTGCTGGTGCCTCTGCTGGTGCGTCTGCTGGTGCCTCTGCTGGTGCCTCTGCTGGTGCTGGTGCCTCTGCTGGTGCTGGTGCTGATGCGGCTGCTGCGGCGGCTGATGTGGGTCATGTCTCTAACACGATTTGAGCAGGAGACTGAGTTGGTTTGTTGCAGTGTGAGGCTGAGGAGGGTCAGCGCCTGGGGTCTCTGATAACACGCTCACTGCTTAAGTCTCCCCCCACGGGCACTTCCCCTGATCCACATGGACCAGCCCCCCCTCACCCCCTCCTCACCCCCTCCTCACCCCTCTGGAGCCGGGCAGCTGTCCTCTCTGTCTGCACACGACACACAGAGCAGGCTGGAGGCGTGTTAAGACCAGAGAGAGACCAGAGAGAGAGACCAGAGAGAGACCAGAGAGAGAGACCAGAGAGAGACCAGAGAGAGACCAGAGAGAGACCAGAGAGAGACCAGAGAGAGACCAGAGAGAGACCAGAGAGAGACCAGAGAGAGGCCAGAGAGAGACCAGAGAGAGACCAGAGAGAGAGACCAGAGAGAGACCAGAGAGAGACCAGAGAGAGACCAGAGAGAGACCAGAGAGAGACCAGAGAGAGAGACCAGAGAGAGACCAGAGAGAGAGACCAGAGAGAGACCAGAGAGAGAGAGAGACCAGAGAGAGACCAGAGAGAGACCAGAGAGAGAGAGAGACCAGAGAGAGACCAGAGAGAGACTAGAGAGAGACCAGAGAGAGAGACCAGAGAGAGACCAGAGAGAGAGACCAGAGAGAGAGACCAGAGAGAGACCAGAGAGAGAGACCAGAGAGAGAGACCAGAGAGAGACCAGAGAGAGAGAGAGACCAGAGAGAGACCAGAGAGAGACCAGAGAGAGACCAGAGAGACCAGAGAGACCAGAGAGAGATGGTACTAGTTGAAACACCAGGTGTAAAACCTCTTCTACAAATCCTACAAATGCAGTTTTTTCTCTTCTCTGGCTCTAAACGCCCTCATCCTGGGCCCCTCCCCCCTCCTCCCTCCCACCTCCTCCCTCCCCCCTCCTCCCTCCTCCCTCCTCCCTCCTCCCTCCTCCCTCCCCCAACACCTCTCCCTCATGAAAAAAACAAGTGTCATGAATGTTGGATGAGCAGACGGAGCCACGGAAACTCTTCTGTTTGAACCTCATCAAAGACAGACCTGGATCTGTGTTTCTCTCCCTCCATGCTCCTGCTCTGATGATCCACTGATGATCCTCTGATGATCCTCTGATGATCCACTGATGATCCACTGATGATCCTCTGATGATCCTCTGATGATCCACTGATGATCCACTGATGATCCACTGATGATCCTCTGATGATCCTCTGATGATCCACTGATGATCCACTGATGATCCACTGATGATCCTCTGATGATCCTCTGATGATCCACTGATGATCCACTGATGATCCACTGATGATCCTCTGATGATCCTCTGATGATCCACTGATGATCCACTGATGATCCACTGATGATCCACTGATGATCCACTGATGATCCACTAGTCACTTCACCTGCTGCTGCTGTTCCTATTGTTTACTCTGGGTTTAGTCTCTGCTGCTGAAGCACAATAGGAACCACCGACTGTTTTTATTTAATCATGTGTTTCCTTAAATAATGGAGTCTGGGTTTTTCTTATATTTGTATTTATGATATACAGTATTGTCTCCAGAATACAGGTGCTGGTGCTGGGACCAGAATACAGGTGCTGGGACCAGAATACAGGTGCTGGTGCTGGGACCAGAATACAGGTGCTGGTGCTGGGACCAGAATACAGGTGCTGGGACCAGAATACAGGTGCTGGTGCTGGGACCAGAATACAGGTGCTGGGACCAGAATACAGGTGCTGGTGCTGGGACCAGAATACAGGTGCTAGTGCTGGGGCCAGAATACAGGTGCTAGTGCTGGGGCCAGAATACAGGTGCTGGGACCAGAATACAGGTGCTAGTGCTGGGGCCAGAATACAGGTGCTGGGACCAGAATACAGGTGCTGGGGCCAGAATACAGGTGCTGGGGCCAGAATACAGGTGCTGGGACCAGAATACAGGTGCTGGTGCTGGGACCAGAATACAGGTGCTAGTGCTGGGGCCAGAATACAGGTTCTGGGACCAGAATACAGGTGCTAGTGCTGGGACAGGAATACAGGTGCTGGGACCAGAATACAGGTGCTGGTGCTGGGACCAGAATACAGGTGCTGGGACCAGAATACAGGTGCTGGTGCTGGGACCAGAATACAGGTGCTAGTGCTGGGGCCAGAATACAGGTGCTGGGACCAGAATACAGGTGCTGGTGCTGGGACCAGAATACAGGTGCTGGGACCAGAATACAGATGCTAGTGCTGGGGCCAGAATACAGGTGCTAGTGCTGGGGCCAGAATACAGGTGCTAGTGCTGGGGCCAGAATACAGGTGCTGGGACCAGAATACAGGTGCTAGTGCTGGGGCCAGAATACAGGTGCTGGGACCAGAATACAGGTGCTAGTGCTGGGACCAGAATACAGGTGCTAGTGCTGGGGCCAGAATACAGGTGCTGGGACCAGAATACAGGTGCTGGTGCTGGGACCAGAATACAGGTGCTAG